GGTGAGTACATGTGCTTATTTTTCCATTTTTGGGATACTTCACTTAGCAAAATGGGTTCCAGCTCTATGCAGGATAATACAAGAGATGCTGTATCACCATTGTTTTTTTGTGGCTGAGTAGAACTCCATGGTATACATATACCACATTTTATTGATCCACTCATGTATTGATAGGCACTTGGGTTGTTTCCACATCTTTGCAATTGTGAATTATGCTGCTATAAACATTTGAGTGCAGATATCTTTTTTATAGAATGTCTTTTGTTCTTTTGGGTAGATGCCCAGTAATGGGATTGCTGGATCAAATGGTAGTTCAACTTTTGTCTCTTTGAGGTATCTCCATATTGCTTTCCACAGAGGTTGCACTAGTTTGCAGTCCCACCAGCAGTGTATGAGTGTTCTTATCTCTCTGCATCCACACCAGCATTTATTGTTTGGGGACTTTTTGATAAAGGCCATTCTCACTGGGGATAACAGATATATCATTGTTATTTTGATTTGCATTTCCCTAATGATTAAAGATGTTGAGCATTTTTTCATGTTTGTTAGTCATTAGTCTATCTTCTTTTGAAAGTTTCTGTTCACATCTTTTGCCTACTTTTTGTTGTTTTACTTTTTCTTACTGATTTTCCTGAGTTCTATATAGATTCTAGTTATCAGCCCTTTATCAGATGTGTAACGTGAATATTTTCTCCCATTCTGTAGATTGTTTGCTCTCATGATAGTTTCCTTGGCTGTACAGAAGCTTTTTAATTTGATCAGGTCCCATTTGTTTATTTTTGTTGTTGCTATTATTGCTTTTGGGGTCTTCTTCATAAATTCTTTGCCTAGGCTAATGTCTACAAGAGTTTTTCCAACATTTTCTTCTAGAATTCTTATAGTTTCATGCCTTAGGTTTAATTAAGTCTGTTATCCACCATGAGATTGATTTTTGTGAGAGGTGAAAGGTATGGATCCTGTTTCAGTCATCCACATGTGGCTATCCAGTTATCCCAGTACCATTTATTAAATAAAGATTCTTTTCCCCAATGTATGATTTTGTCTGCTTTGTCAAAGATTACATGGCTATATGAGGATGATTTTATATCTGGGTTCTCAGTTCTGTTCATTGGTCTATGTCTCTGTTCTTGTGCTAGTACCATGCTGTTATAGTTACTATGGCCTTGTAGTATATCTTGAAGTCTGGTAAATTGATGCCTCCCAATTTGTTCTTTTTGTTTAACCCTCTTAGTGCGGCAGGCTGAAATATCGGCTTTTGCATCTAGGGTGAAAAGTGCGATGGGCCGTTATTGTTAACTATGTAGAAGCCGATGTATCGGCCTGACGCACTTTTCGCCCACATAGGAGCTGATATATCGGCCCGCCGCACTTTTCGCCCTAGATGCAAAACCCGATATTTCGGTGCACTGCACTAAGAGGGTTAAGGTTGCTTTTGCTATATGGGGTCTTCTCTGGTTCCATATGAAGTATAGAATTATTTTTTATATATCTGTGAAAAATGATGTTGGTATTTTAATAGGGATTGCATTGAATCTGTAGGTCACTTTGGGTAGTATAGACATTTTAACAATGTTGATTCTACCGACCCATAAACATGGTGTGGTTTTCCACCTGTTTATGTCCTCCCCTATTTCCCTCCTCAGTCTTTCCTAATTCTCCCTGTAGAGGTCTTTTACCTCCTAAGTTAAATATATTCCTAGGTATTTTACTTTCTTTGCTGCTATTGTGAAGGGTACTGAGTCTTTTATTTGGTTCTCAGTTTGACTGTTGTTGACGTATAGGAATACTACTGATTTCTGTACATTGATTTTGTAACCTGAGAGTTTGCTGAATTTGTTTATCAATTCCAGTAGTCTCATGGAAGAATCTTTGGGGTTTTCTAGATATAAGATACTATAGTCAGCAAAGAGTGATAGTTTGACCACTTTTGCTCTATTTGGATGCCCTTGATTTCTTTCTCTTGTCTGATTGCTCTAGCTAGGACTTCCAGCACTATGTTGAATAGAAGTGGTGATAAAGGACAGCCTTGTCTGGTTCCAGTTCTAAGTGGGAATGCTTTCAATTTTTCCCCATTCAGTATGATGTTGGCTGTGGATTTGTCATATATGGCTTTTATTATTTTTAGGTAAGTCTTGCCTATGCCTATTTTGTTATGTGTTCTTATCATAAAAGGGTATTGAATTTTGTCAAATGCTTTTTCTGCATCTATTTAAAGCATCATATGGTCTTTGTTTTTGCTTCTATTTATGTGGTGAATTACATTTATAGATTTGCGTACATTGAATCATCTCTGCAGGTCTGGGATGAAGCCCACTTGGTCGTGATGGATTATTTGTCTGCCTAACTTCTTAAGCCCTGGCCCAGACAAAAGCCTCTGCTCATTTAAACATATTTGAGCCCTGCCTGAGGTCAAAAACAAGGTCAATAATCAGGTGAGATGTTCAGGTTCCACTCTCCTTTATTGCTTTTGTGAGAATATTTCAGTGGCAAATTGAAAGAGAGAAAAAAAGCTATTATATATTTATGCAAACACACACACATATGTATGTGTATTAAATTAAAAGATAATTTTCAGGATTTTATCTTGACAGATTAGAAATTAAATTATTTAATTATAGCATTTACAATAACAAAAATAAGTCAATACTTTGGGGAAATATTTAAATTAGGCTATAAAATTAGGCCAAGTGAAAAGCTGGAAAAAATAAAAAATCTACTACAAAAGAGCTATATCATAGTTGCTTATATCTAATAACTCCCATTGAATAGAAGTGCACTTTAACTTCCTAGATAGCTGGTAGGCAATTATGTTTTATTAAATCATTCAAAAGCCATATATGGACCACCATATGTCAGGGAAAGTATTATTTTAAATGGGGATACAAAGATTAACAAAAACAAGGCCTTTGCCTTCTCTAAGTTCTATATACTATACCATATCAGTGCTCTTAAATCATTCTATTTTATGGGTGGATTTTGTGTACCTACCTGGGTTAATACATGATAGTAGTTTTAAAGTTTGTTTTAGAAGATTATTATTAGGTATTATTCACTGTTTCCATATAACCAAAATATATAATTTATGACTTATTTCAGAACTTCCTGATAAAATTAATACATATTTTTTTGGTAAAAATTTTGGGAACTTTTCTACACAGAAAAGAATTAAAAATCATGTGTATTCTTACCACTCAGTATAATCATTGTTGGCATTTTCTTTTGGCATTTTTTCCTATGCTTTTGATTTTAAGTAATAGAAAACCCAACTCAAACTTGTTTAAATCATAAAGAAAACTGACTGGTTCACATTAATAAAAAGTCCATGGTCCCTGTTCATTTCCTTCTCTCTACTGTACCTATCTTGGTCTCTGTGTCTTTCAAAGACTGACTTTTCTCATGGTTCCAAGATGTCTGTCAGCATCTTCCTCTTGTCCACCAAGAAAGAGAACATCAGCATTCTCTGCAAAAGTCCTGACAGTCATTCTATTAAACTACTGTAGGGTCAATGCCCACTCTGACTCAATCATTAAGTCCAAAGAGATGGAATGTACTGATTGAATAGCCTAGGTTAGTTACATTACCCCCTCAAAAGCAGAGTGAAATCAACTTCTCTGGAAACACATGGGTCCCTAAAGAGAAAATGGTGCTGTTGGGAATGGGTGGGGCATTTTAAAGAAACAAACTGTTTTCAAAGAAATTTGACATGATATTACACATAGTTAAATAGCACATTTTAAGCCACTCTTTTGTCTTGGTCTTCTTTACCCAACTTTGATTAGATTTTACAGATGGCCCAGAATTTCTACTTTTTCAAGGAAGATCACCCTCAAAATTTCACTAGGGAATACCCAACAGGCATTAAAAATTATGAAATAGATCTATCTATATGAATAATAATTTTAATGATACATTATTAAATGAAAAGGCTTACTAAAAATTATGTGATAAAAAGTCATATGTATTGTATAATCCTGTTTTTCTTATATAATTTATAGTTGCCTAGAAAAAATGATACATAGTAAAAGATTAACCTAAGTTACCTATAGGTGTGATTTGCATTTTCTTCATTCCCTTATCTATATCATCTGAATATTTTATAATTGTTATTTATTATTTTCATAATCAGGAAAAAAATTAGAATTACTTCATTTTGGAAAAATGAAGTAATTTTAAAAAGTAAAATTTACCAGGAATCTACATGTACATCATATTGCCTCAACATATATTTTATATGACCCTCGTCATTATATTAAACCACTTGGTTTATTCCTCCCGTCAATTTTGATCAGCTGGAGTTGAGGGAAATGGGAGTATCAATGTGTTTGAAGGCTATAGGTCCCATTTATTTGTAAGTAGAAATTAAGATTAATTTACAGTTGTTCCTCCATTGTTCTGCATAATTTTTAGTTTATAGTATAGTATAGTTCATCATCTCTCAGATATGATAATGGAATTAAATTATTTTCTTACAGCATTTATCGGTAATTGCTTATCTAAGGATGACTTTTAATGAAGTCTTTCATCTCTGTGTACACTTTTTTCCTATAGTTTCCTTCCACTAGCTGCTCTTCTCAGAAGACTCATCTACTCCATGTTGATGTCTCTTTAAACCACATCTTTAGCTCTGCTCTGTCTCTTGAGCTTCTGTGTTCTCTCTAGGGGTTTACCTGAAGTCTCTGCATACATGTGCTGATGCTGTTATGAGCAGTTAGTTCATGGGACAGTGAGAGCTTTTCTTCTCATTCCTACTGACTAGCTGGGAGTACTCAGACCAATTGCTTAATCTCCTAGGGCCTTGAATGGAGAGGATGATAACTTCAAGAGAGAAAACTGAACTAGATAATTTCTCAAGGTTTTAGATTTTAGGTCTAAAACCAAATTCATTATCTTTTCCTTATAACTGCTTCCCCCTTTGAAATATTTCTTCCTCATCTTTAGATAACATAATGATAGAAAACGATGAGATTTTAGGTCTGGAAAGGATATTAGAAGCTCCCCAACACAATTCGTTTTCTTTATTGTAATGGATGAGGAAATACATACATAGGTTCATCAAGTCCTTCCTCATCTCTAGCTCCATCAGTAATTGAGTCTCACTAATTCTTTTGTACTTTCTCTCAGGCTTATTCCATTCTTTTCACTGTCATCACTCCAGAGTAGGTCTTCATTTCCTTATAACTTGGTTCTTCCCAAAGTCGCCACACTTTTTCTTGCTTTCATGCTCTTTCAGCTAATTCTGGGAAAGCTTCCAGATGACACATCCAAAAATAGTGTGATCATTATGACTTGTTCCTGTGAAAAAATATTAAATGGCTTTACTGTGGTCAAAAGATAAGGTTTAAGTTTTTTTCAAACATTTTATTTCATACAAATTTCATATGGTACAAAAGTATTACATGCTTGAGCTTGTCTCCCAAATTGAAGGTTCTTTCAGTTTTTCAGGCCAGTTTTCTGTCAGAGGCAAATAAATAAGAAACATGTCTTATTATGTAGATCACATATAGAAAAGTTTCTATACATGAACAAAAATATTGGGGACATTTTATATTTAGTACAGTTTAGAAATCCAGTTTATGTTGACAAATCAAGTTCATTGTTAGGAGGTACCCATTACACATACAAAAGAACTCAATAGACAGCAGACATTTTCACCTGTAAGGAAAAAAATATCTGATTTGATTTTTTTCTTATATTTTTTGAAGAAGATACTCCATCTGTAAATTCAAGTTTGGTTGGCCCTTTTTAGTCTTTTTACTCGATATTTTGAACACTTCCATTTTCTTCTTTTTGTAGCACCTTTCAGCTTCTCTCTTGTTTCCTCCTCTCAAATTCTTGTTTCTTAGCAGCATACTTAGCTTGTACCTGTTCATATTCTTCTTGTGCTTTTTGATTTGATGTTTTCTTTTTATTTTTCATTGGAATAGTAAAGGAGTTTACATTGTTTTTCTGGCTGAGGCTGGTTAAAGCTACACTGGTCTTCAGACAAAGCCTGGTCAATGCTACATTGTTCTTTAGGCAAAGGCTGGTCGACTTGCTCTTCTGACAAAGGTTGGTCAACTTTTCTTAGTTGCTTTCTGAGTCTTTCCTCTTCAGCTAAATAGAGATGTTTCAGATGATCTGGCTATCAATCTTTGAATTGGGATTCCTGTGATATTTAAGCCTTCTCTTTCTTCCATAACCATTTCTTGTAATTTTGCTGAATCTTCAGTTTTCTTTGAAACACAAAGCCTTGTCCCTTGCAAACACTCCCCACGAAGCCATGCAAATAGTTAGGCCACCATATCCTCTGTTTCACATTCTTATTCCTGAATCTGACCAAAGAACCCTCTTCACCATGTGTCCCCCAACCCCTCTTCCATCGCCCTTGTGCCAGCCTCACCAGCGCCATTTCCACAGACCAAGGTTTAAGTTCTAAGACTAAATAAGCTAAGGAACATCTGACAAGCTACCTTTCCAGGCCTATCTTCTAATTTTCTCCTCATAGTCAAAGCTCAATAAGCATTTATTTAATTGAATTAATCTTCCTACTTTCTAAACAGAAATCCTTTTCACCTTAAAATAATTGAGATGTTCACATTTTTCCTTAAAAAGTAGCCATGTTCAACGGAAACAGGCAGTTAAAAGTGAAGACAGAGAACAAAAGAAAGTTGAACAGGAACAGAAGGCATGCCTTTTCTATAGCTTCAATTTCTATTCATTTCCTCCTAAGTTTCAGATCCTTTAACTTACCCTTAGCTTACTGTGATTTTTCTTAGTATGCCATATAGTTTTGTATCTTTGCACTAAAACTGCCAAGATGATCGGAAGACACTGAAGTTGCCAGACAGAAAAGTTTAAGATGCAAAGCAAAGTAGATGATTGTAAAGGACAAATGCTTAAGATATTAAGTGGGATTAAAGTATGAATATTTTAAAATTTGGAATAATTTTTATTCCGAAAGGCTAATTCAACTACAGGGTTTCTTCAGGTTTCAAAGTGGAGCACTGTATTCGGGATACCTTCAATTCAAAAAGCTCTGGAAATTTTCCATCAATACAACCAGTTTCCTCTGGGTACACTGCAGAGATATGCATGTAGTTTCCCCGCAACAGAAATACTGTACAAGCAGTCACGGACAGGGGGGCTTAGTCTAAATCAAGTACAGGGCTAAAGCTTTAGTCATTTTAATCTCTTGGTTTAGGAAGGTCAAGGTCACACTACCATGGGAAACGTGGAAGGTAGGATTTTGACCCAGGTCTGATTTTAAGTCCTTGCTTTTAAACTCGATTATAAAAAGGACTAGGGTAACCAAGAGGAACTGGCGGATCACACAAGACTCGGGTTACGCAGAAATACGACAAGACTCAGCGACTGATTTAGGGAGGAAAACAAGACAGAGAATCCCCTACGGAGGCCGCCATTTTGCGGGAGCCGCGCGGCCGGAAGTCCCACAGCCGGAGGACAGCGGTGGGCGGCTCGCAGCCGGCAGGGCGGGGCCGGGGACCGTGCTGTTCAAAGGCTGAGGAGGGGGGCGGGGCCTGAGGGCGGCTTTGAGGAACGTGTGCCTCAGAGGCTCTAGGCTATGGGCGGGGCCTGAGGACGGGGCAGGGCCATGTGACCACGGCTGGGGCTGTAGGCGGGGCCTGAGGGTTGGACCGAGGCCTGTGTCTCAAGGCTTTATGCCGGGGGCGGGGATACAGGGCGGGGCGAAGGCGGGGCCTCGCGGCCGGGCCGGGAGGAGCTGACAGGGCCGCAGCAGCTAACCCGCAACCCCACTTTCTCGGAACGTGCCTGGGCTGCTGCAGCTGGCACCCGGCAGCGCTCAGCGAAGAGGGCTGGGGGCGGGAGATGACAGTGATTTGCTCCCTGCTTGGCCCTCTGCGAGCACCGACTCCCTTCTCCGCGCGGCCCCAGGGCTGCAGACGAAGCAGGTGAGATGGACCCCCAGGGCGCGGACCTGCCCTGTCCTGGCTTGGCCTTGTGGGCACCGGGTACCACACCCCCGCCCCTCGGATCTGGGCAGGTGGGCAGTGCCCGACCCTCTGCGCCCTGGCTCCGCGGCCCGCTGCCTGAACCTGCCTGTCTCTGCCCCACAGCGCCTGCGTTTGGAACGTGTGAGACCACCGGGAAGGCTTGCACAGGGGTAGAGGTGGCGTGTCCCCTCCGGGGACAGAACTGCCGTCCCCAGTTTGGGAAGCTCCCCACTGCACGTGCGTCCACCCTGTCATTCTCGGACTCTTCCCTTTATCTGGAGGGTGGCCCAGGCACCTGGAACGTTGAGCCAAATTTTCTCTCTACCCATTTTTGCACGGTTAGTTACCATGACATTGGGATTCCATGCCCAGGGAAACTGAGCGACGACTTTTTCCCGGGCACAGACCCCAGGCTGCCTTTCCACTTCCACTACTGCCTTCCTAGGCGTTGAGTGGCAGCTGCTCTCTGGGCAGCCAATTTGGTTAAGGACTTTCTGCACCTTTTATCTTGCAGGGCCAAAGTCTGTCCCTGCAGACAAGGGAAGGAGGCAGTGCTCAGAGCTCCCTACACTGGGTCTCTAGGGAGGACATTTGGCCCCCTGCAAGTAGGTGGGAGTGGGTGAATGTTGTGACTGTTGATGTTGAAGAGTGCTCTAGTAGTATCACACTGTATTTTGCTTTTTCCCAGGGGATAAAGGATATTGGGTGTTTGAGAAAGAACCTAAGAGTTTAAAGCTTTCTTCTTGAAGTTAATCAACTCTCCATTCACTCCCATTTTCACTTAATAATAGCAGTCTTTTACAATTTCAGTGGTTCATTGATGTTTAAGCCAAATATGAAGTGGCCAGGAGCGGTTTGTTTTAATATATACAGTAGCGTTTCTCCAGTTCCTGCCCCAGTGAGTGGTCTTTTACTGTGACAGGTCAACTTGTTTGTTCTGTAATAAACCTTGTTTTCATAGATGAAAAGACTGGAGGTAATTTTTTTAAAACTTCCTTTGCCGTAGTTCCTGTTCATTTTAAAATAATGCTTTAGAAAGCATATTTTCTTCCCCTACTAGGATGAGATAAAACTTTGTAAGTGCTTTTGATTATTTTGACTTTTTCCTCAGTTAGCAGGTATTGCTTTTATAATATTGAAAAACATTAAAAGAAACCTCTTGGGAGGGGCAGATTACTTTTCAATGTTTTGTTGTTGTTTTCATTTTCAGCTAATTGAAAGTTAAACCTGGGCATCGCTATAACTATCTGACCATAACCCTGAGGAAAAAGAACAACTCTCCCTTCACTGTTAGCAACCATTTAAGATCAAACTAAATTAAATTCAATTCCTCTTAACTGTTTGGTATAAAACAAAACCTGATGACTTTATGACACATCCCATCCCTCTTTTTTTTTTTTTTTTTTTTTTTTTGGTTGTAGGATCTTTAATACCAAGTATGTTTGAAGAACTAACATAAGATTTACTTTTTTACCATTCTTATTATTTTTAGGACTATGGCTCCTAGTAGCAATTGCTACCATTTCTTGAAAGCCTACTTTGTGATAAGCTGTGTATAAAATATTATATCCACACAATATGCCTCTAAGGATATTTTTACTCTCATTTTACAGTTGAGGAAACTAAGGTTCAGGAAGGCTAAGTAACTTACCCAAGGAGTTGATAAGTAATAAGGCTCAGAATCTGTTTGACTCTTTTCACTGAGTTAAAGTTTTAGTCAAAACTGTGGGGTAAAAAAATGTATTGGAATGTGCTCATATGGTACAAATAAGGGGTTGTGGGCAGTATAAGTTAGTAATACTCCAGGCAAAAAAATATAGGGAACTTTTGAAAAATATCACAAGACTGGACTTCTTTAGCACTGCCTACTCAAGAATGTTTCTTAAGGTTGCAAAATGTTTAACACCTTTGTTTAATTGTTTACTAGCTCCTTATTTCAAGTATGGGTATTTGTACCAACCAGTAGCTTTCCCAGGATATAATTTGATGCTTATGTGGTAAACTTTAAGTAAGTATTATAGGTTTCGTGTACTATATTGACCACTCCTGTCTAATCCTGGTAGAAAAATACTTGTCTTAATCCAGATTAAATGTAAGGTTTTTAAATGGTTTGGTTTATACCAGGGTAGCACAGAGAAAATTCTCTTACACACCCCCATGTATCGGTTGTTGGTAATCTCTGGCCTGCCACCTAAGTCTTTTTAATGTGATGTAGATGTTTGAGAACTTAACCTGGGCATTGTAAATTTCAGGAAGCATGCATTTTTTACTTTCTACCTTATATAAGGCCATTTTAGATGGTAAACTCAGAGTAATCACTTAGAAATTAATAATTGACATCATATTAATTTTAAATACTAATAAAAGCCGATTAATTTTAGAGCTATCCATACCGCCTGTGCATTTGTGTCCCTGGCAGCAAGAGGGGAGTTGATAATTATTGTAATGTTAGCATAAAGAATTTGTTCCTTGCTTTAGCATTTTCTGAACATCTTTGGGACATTTTACAACACATTTTGTGTTCTTTAACATCTTATGAACATTTTTAGAACATTTCAGGACACATTTTGTGTTCTTGGACTTGTTAGTATAGTGAAAAACAGGGTACTTTATCATTTGGAAAAAAACTTTTTTTTTCTGTTCATGAACTAGATAGCGCCTAAAAGAGAACACTGATTCATGAAAGGGTAAAAGGTTTATGTATGTGCAAGTTATTATTTTAGTCATTCATTAAAAATGGTTGTGTCTCCTGTGTGCCACATGTTTTGCTAGATGTTAGGGACACAACAGTGAATAAAAACATGCAGTCCCTGCTTCTGTGACATTTACAGTCTAGCAAAAGAGATGACATAAATTAAGTAGTTACTCTAATACATAGTATAATTGCAGACTGAGAAAAGTTGCCTGAAGGTAAGCAATGAGAATCTATTTGAGAAAAGATCGTGGCCTGGCTGTGTGGTTAGAGAAGCCTTACCTGATACAGTGACACCTGAACTATATGATTTGGAGGATAAGAAGTTGTTAACTATGTGGAATGTGGCAGGTGGGTGGGTAGAGAAAAGGAACATTTTAGAGTGAGCCAAATGTGCAAAGTCCCTGAGGCACAAAGGGACTATGGGGCCAGTGTGTCAAGGCTGGTGTAAAAGAAACTAAAAGTAGGTTGGTCAGATACCATCATTTTTTCTTTCTTTCTCATATATTCTACCAAGATTTAAATATTTAACTTTGCTAAGTGATTACTCTATACTAGATGTGATTCTGAGGATTTTACTTGAATAATCTCAAGTTCCTGTGAGGTAGGTACTATTACTGCCATTTCACAAAAGAAGAAAGTGAGGCACAGAAAATTTATTGGTTCAAAGTCGCTTGACTATACTGTTCTTCCTATCCTATACTCAAGTATGACCACAGGCTAGAAAGAACTTTCTAGTCCCAGTGTGACTCCTTGATGTAGCCCTGAGAACTTCTGAAATTTCTGAAGAATTTGGATGCAGGTGGACATTCAGCAGAGACTCTGTGGACCCCATGCTCTTATCCACCTGACAGAGCTCAACTGTGGATCCCTGGAGAGAGGTATAGGGCAGGACTGAGGCTGTCATATCTGTGGATCTTATTTTACTCATGTCTGATACTGAATATAGAACAACAACATATATAATGTTGAGTTGAACTACCTTTGAGAGTAAAGAGGTTATTGTTAGCAACCCCCCACTTTTTTTTTCCATTGTATTTTTCCCTGATGGTAGCTGAGAGTATGTATATTCATTTAGCCATTCTAGAAGATAAATAAATCTAGGTTTCCCAGTGTAACATTTCAACTAAAATTCTTATTGTCACACTGAATCGTTGTTCCTTTTTTTCCAGAGATCTGGTTGGAGTTGGAGGTTGAGAGAAAATGAATTCCTTTTCTGAGTTACCTGCAGAGAACTTGACCCTTGCAGTCAATATGACCAAGATTTTGCCTACAACAGTACCACATGGATTTAATTCCACTAATGACCCACCTTCAATGTCAATAACAAGGCTTTTTCCAGCCTTACTAGAATGCTTTGGCATAGTCCTTTGTGGCTACATAGCAGGAAGGGCCAATGTCATAACATCAACACAGGCCAAAGGACTGGGAAATTTTGTCTCCAGATTTGCACTTCCAGCTTTATTATTCAAAAACATGGTTGTACTTAATTTTTCCAATGTGGATTGGTCTTTCCTATATAGTATCTTAATTGCCAAAGCTTCTGTATTTTTCATTGTATGTGTATTAACCTTATTGGTTGCCAGTCCTGATAGTCGATTTAGCAAAGCCGGACTATTTCCTATATTTGCTACACAAAGTAATGACTTTGCATTGGGATACCCTATAGGTAAGTTGTTTTTTATTTTTCAAGATTTTAAAAAATTCAAGTGGTTTAGGAGGTAACAAAATATAAGCTTTTAATTTAAGCCTTTGTTAGCGGCAGATGCCTACTCTTGTATCTAAGAAATCTTTAATTTTTTTCTCAAATATGCCTAAATTGGGATGAATTATATTTTTTCCTCAACTTCAGAGTTTGAGGATCCTTGAATCATCTACTTAAATGATCATATCCTAGTAATCTTTGTGAGTAGTTTTTCTAATAGTATTCTTTTTCTTCTCAGTAACTGTATATGAAAAGTTTAATTTTCAGAAGGGATTTGATTCTGATTTAAATTATGTAAAAAGAATAGGCTTATGTCTGTATTAAAATAGTCATTATTAAATGTTAGTATTGAGAATTTATGAGTAATTTTCCCCTCTTGTTTCTCTTACCATCTGGAATATATCTTTTTTTACATTAAAATTGTTTTTGAGCTCATTATTCAAAATTTTAGTGTATTTTAGTTGAAGTCAATTTCTTGTTTAAAAACAAAATAGTGATGGATTTTTTTTTACTTTTTTTACCTTTCTCTTTTTTACCTTTTACATTTACTCTTTTTTACCTTTCTGACTCTTTAAGCAGCCTAATTTTAATCTTTCTATGTGTGTATTTGTTCCTGATGAGACAGTAAACATACCAATTTGGGATGTTGGGATATCTTGAAAGAAAACATTCTACTTCTTAGAATACTTTGCCACCAAGAAAATGCATACCTAGTAACTACTTTTTTATATTTTTAAATTAAAGTTATGTGTACTTGGATCATGTATCATAATGTGAGAACCTGAATATTGTAGATATATTTATTTATTCACTCATAGGGAACTGTTATATACCAGTGACTGTGCTAGCTGCTGGGAATATGCCTGCGAACAAAGTTCTTGCCCATAGTGAATTTATATTTTAATGGACAAATAAAGTTAAAATCATTTCAGGTGGTGACAAGGGCCATAAAAATAAATAAAGTAGTTTAGAGGGATAGGAATGAGAAGGTGCTACTTGAGGTAGGGTGGACAGTGACGAACTCTCTGATGATATGTCTTCTGTGCAGAGACTTGAGTGGAACCTATTAAAGTGTACAACTGAAATCTATCATTAACTTCCAAGTTTCCTTCCAGTAGTTTTTTCCTCTTCCCCTACCCTCAACTTATTTCACCACTGCCACCGAAAAGATTCTAGCGAACTATACTTTCACCTTTCTCTACCTTTAACCTTCCTCCATCTTGCTTACCAGAAAAAGAGAAATATCTAAGAAATCAAATATCTGTAAGGGGGAGATTTAAGAGAGAGGAAACACTAGGATATTGATAATTGAGCTGCAAATAGAAACTAGACAGGTGTTCCTTATTGAATTTTAAAATGAAATAAAGACTTGGAAATAAAAGAGCAAGGAGTTATTGTGTTTATTTCCTTGGGAGCATTAATAATGTAAATTTGTCAAGGTATTATAGTATAAGGACTTTAGAAGTGTCTTCATACCATAGTGTTAAATATCTAATAAATATTACTATATCTTACTTTAGACATGAACTAGAGGATATAGTTTCACGCTCTCGTAGATTAGTAAGCCTATAACTAAACAGAACTAATATTCGTAACTTTATAGTTTATGGAGTGCTTTCTTATATACTTATCTCATTTGAGTAGGGCAGATATTATTATCCTCATTTTCAAACAAGGGGACAGGCTTAGAGAGATTTAAATGTTTTATCCCAGGTCACACAGCTAACAGGTGACTGAGACCCAAACCTAGGTCTTCTGGTTCCAAATCCTGGGCATTCTCTTATGCCATAGTTATATAACACGCCAACTTAATCTTCAGAAGACTCCACCAGACTTGTACTATATTAGTTTCAGAAAGAATCAAAGGTTTTTTTTCTCTGTATTATTTTAAAAATACTGCATAAAATGAGTAGTTGTGAAAAAGGACCTATTGATGAGTTATCCCATTTTCACATCAAGGCAGAACTTCCAAATAAAAAATATAATCATCCATTTCACCACTGTTTTTCTTATTCCCACATTAAATCAGTGAATCTCGTAATAATTATGTTTCTATCAGTGTACTAGCTCAAATTTCCATGATTATATTTGTCGATTTTGAGGTATAATTTTTGTTGGTTTTTTTGTTTGTTTTTTAATCATGATAATAAGAGCTCTTATAACATTAGGTTGTAGACTATGACTTTACTAAAAATCAGTAGTATAGACAGAAGTGCTTTCTCATATACCTGTTGGAAGGTGTGGTGCAGAACTGTAAGGGCTGTATTTCTGCTCCCTGTGAGGTTACGTAGTATTGCTGCCTGTGCCCTCTGCCTTCTGGCTTGCACAGGGTGAACAGAGAAGTCTGTCTCCAGACAGAAGACCTTTCTTTCTACTTGTTTCATGATCTCTCCAAGAAATTCTCACTCTCTTATTTACAGATGGGCATTGATCATGGGTTATAAGAAATGTCCTTTTAAGACATCATTTTAAAAAAAGACTACATTTTTTCCACATTTGTCTAATTTATAGATGACTCAGGAAATGCAAAGAGAAGATAGATAAATTAATGAATAAATAAAAAAGATGTTTCCTTGTCGTATATACTATGACAACTGTAGTGGTCTATGAAATTACATTTAATGACTTTATTCAAGTGACAGAATAGAGCATTTTTATAGACTAAAAAAGAAGCTTACTGTTTTTTAGACCCATTCTTTTCAAAAGTACTTTAAAATCCAAGTGTGAGAAGAACCCAAGAATCTACCAAGGTGAAATGTTGATTTCAGCAAATCAGAATGCTTCCCTGCCTCTGTCATTAAAAGATACTAATAGGGCATAGTTAAATCCTATAATTTATTCTTCAAACAATGCTGATAGCATAAGTACCCTTACTAATCATAATTATGCTCCAGTGCTTGAACTGTAAACAGAAAGGAAAGGAAGCATTTAACTATATGCCATTAAATAATAGAATGATCTTGTCTGGGTCTTTGTGTTATGTGCTAGGCCTTGAAACCCTGCAGGAATCAAAATAGGAGGCACAGTAGGTGGCTAATTTTGTCTCTTAGTCCTCCAAAGCTGTATAATAACTCCTTATGATGGGATTCTCCCCTCTCTCCAAGAGCCTTTTTTATTATCATTAATTAATTAGAACTTAAAAGTTGATACAATGATTATAAATCTAATTTTAGTTACTATAGTCACTGCTTTCATATATATTTTTTTCAGATTTGAAAAACTATCTTTAATAACAAAAGAGAAGCACTGCCAATTTATAGGGAAAGATGTAATGTTAAGTAATTATGCAAATGAATGGCAGAAGTAGACTAGAATTCCTGTGTTAAACCCTAATATTCTAGTGATTTAACAAATATTTATTGAATCACAATTTTTTGCTGTCCCACTAGACCATACTTCTTTTGCTTTTGTATACCTGTTCAGCTGACTTGAAATACCTCAATAGTAACCTGCTTTATAAATATTCAGAATGTATAAAAATTTTTTTTAAATGCATACAAAATTTCAGTTAGGAGGAATAATACATTTAAGAGCTCTATTGTACAACATGGTGACAATGGTTGAATAACAATGTGTTGTATTTTTGCAAATTGCTAAAAGAGTAGATTTTAAGTGTTCGCATCACAAAAAATGATAAACATATGAGATAATACATATGTTAATTAGCTCGATATAGCCATTCCACAGTGCATACATATTTCAAAACATGTTGTACATGATATATATATAATTTTTGTCAATTAAAGATAATTTTGTATAAAGCAAAAATCAAGTTAAAAATGGATACAAAAAGAAATGGATTAACTGATAACAATCAGATATAAATTACCGTGTGTTATAAAATACATCTTTCTATATCTGAAACCTTTGACATTCATAGACGTGTCAGATGCAGCAAGTATTTTCAGATTTGCTCAGCATTGTACTGGGGACTGTGGGTTATAAAATGATACCTTCAAGGCCAGGCGCGGTGGCTCACGCCTGTAATCCTAGCTCTCTGGGAGGCCGAGGCGGGCGGATTGCTCAAGGTCAGGAGTTCGAAACCAGCCTGAATAGAAAGAAATTAATTGGCCAACTAATATATATACAAAAAATTAGCCGGGCATGGTGGTGAATGCCTGTAGTCCCAGCTACTCGGGAGGCTGAGGCAAGAGGATTGCTTGAGCCAGGAGTTTGAGGTTGCTATGAGCTAGGCTGATGCCATGGCACTCACTCTAGCCTGGGCAACAAAGCGAGACTCTGTCTCAAAAAAAAAAAAAAAAAAAATGATACCTTCAAGGAACTTAGAGAAGTGGCACTAATATGAAGCAAAGTATCACAGCATTCCAGAGAAGGGGAAATTAATAATGTAGATTGAAGACTTGGTGGAAGAAGTAGTACCAGAGACAGGCCTTAAGCATTAAGTAAAAAAAGAAAAATTTCAAGAAGTTAAAGGATGATGGTATGGTCAGCATGTAGAACTAGTAATTATGAAGAGGATGTTTGCCTGGTATAACTATGTTATTAAACTGGCTGATGGAAAAAGAAGAAACAAACAAGAAAACCAGACTGATGGAGTCTTTGCATTAAGAAGTAGTAAGAGATAGGTTGGATAAATAAGGGGCCAATTGTGGAGACAGGGCTATGAATGTCAAAAGAGAGGTTTTCTAGCTGTTCTGTGGGCTGTGAGAGCCATGGGAAAATCTTAACTTTTAAAAGCTAAGATTTAGATGGTACTGTTAGCAGTGAATAAAATGTACAAAGGAGGTGGTTGAGATAAACAAAAGAATATTGGTTGGTAAGCACATTAAGTAATCTAATTTTGAGATTTTTAAGAAATGATAGTGGGAAGAATCAAGAGGAGAAAATACAAAAGATCCTGCTAAAGAGGAAAAGACTTGGTGGTTGGCCAGACATAAAAAACTGTTGTTCAAATTTGCATTGAGCAAACAATGGAAGTTCATTATATGATGGTCATTGACTGCTAGTATGCCAGGAAAGTAAATTACTGGAAAAAGGCAATTATATAAGGGGCTTTGAGTAGACTGCAGAATTGTAGCTGTGTTGTCAGAGGAAACACCTTATGCATTTATTGTAGCTGCTTAGGAAAAATTCTTGTACTCAGATTAAGAACACAAGACTTTTCCAAAATATACACTCTATTTTAAAAATTGAGTGGTGGGCAGGTATGGACACTTTTCTCTTGAGTTAGGATATCTAATCAGAAGTATAGCTATCTAGAAATAGTTAGAAAAAGTATTGTTTTTTACTTAAAAGATGAAACCTTAAACATGAAAGAAAACCACTAAATGTTATAGAACTAGCATATTGAATTTGGAAATCAGTGGAAAGAATTTGTGAAATTTTATATAATCAAATGTTTTTAACCACTGTTTCATTTTGGAAATATTATAACCTCTGAAGGTGCTTAACTGAGAAAATGGGGATTGAATCTTATACAAATAGTTTTAGCTTGAGAAAAACATGAACTTCTAAAGGTTATATAATCTAGTTACATAACTTTAACGGTACATGTGCATAACATTAACTGAACTTACATATCCTGATTAAGTAAACAAATATATTTTCCTACCTGTGTCACTTTATCTTCATGTAAATTGAGAAACCTAATCTTTTACATTTTTTCACATGATTGCCTCTCTCCTTGTGAATGACTGTTGCTGTTCTTTTTTTATCTTTCTCAACTTCAAATCAATTACAAATTAGCCTTTGTGCACATTAGATTGTATAATGTACACTTCCATTGCCAAAAATGTGCCTAGAGACTAGGTTGTTTACTCCAAGGCTCTAAGTTGCCCCCAGTCCACCAGGAAACTGCTAGAAGTCTGATCCAATCCACACACCTCCCTCATGGGATAAGGAAACACATCTTGTGCAGTGGTTAGGATCTAAAGTCATCAGGTATACCTAAACCCTTGAGACAATTCCTTAAATCACCCACAAAATACAGCACACATACTTTGTCTATATTATACCATTTCCCATAAGTCTAACACAGTTTTTTTCTATACTATTGTTCTTCCTCAATGAACAGCAGGTGAAATGATTGGTTTGTACTTGAAAACATGCTACAGGGGGAAAAATATGAAGGTTTTGTTTTCCTGAGAGGGTGCAGTTTAATTTGTGTTAGTTAAATGTGCACTGATGTGACTCCACTGTATTTCCCTCCCAAACATTTCTTAGATCCACTTTTCTAGTTCTACTTCTTTAGCATCTTCACTGGGCTTCCTTGAAGGCATTCATTCCCTTTCATTCCTCTCAGATGGAGGCTGTTCATTTTGGCATAGCCTGCATACCACATGGGCGATGGTGGGTAGGACTGGGATCCCCATAACTACTGTGGACTACTGCTAAGCCATTACTGTCTGCTCTGTTGTTAAAAAACTATACTTTGAGGTTCATGCTGTCTAGACCACTCAATCTCATTGCTGTCACCTGCTGGTGTCATTCTAGTCATTCCCCCTCATTCATCGAAGACCTTAATATCTGGCTCACTGTGGTCTTCTTTATCTGTGTTTTGCCATCTTCTTATTTAACTGTGGCTAGCATTGTGAACCATCTGTCAAATGGTCCGCCCTCTCTCAGTTCCTTGACCTCATCTCCAGTGATTTTTTGCTTTACTCCATTTCACTCACCAACTCCTACGGCCACATCCTGGACTTAGTCATCTGGAAAATACTAAATTCAGTAGCTCACTATCTGACTTACTCTGACCACCTACACTTCCAACTGCACTTAATTCTTGGGCTTCATAGGGGCCTGCAGTCTCTGATGCCTCCACATTCTGTCAGCCATCTACCATCTTCACTTCTTTCCTGTACACTGTGGACTCCATATCAGTGCTCATTTTTTAGTTCCTTGTCCCCTACCGTCTCCTCTATCCTCTGTAATCTGACTTCTGCCTCACCATTCCAGTAAAACTGCTCTCTCCATGGGTACCGACAACCACGTTGTTGCTATTACTACTTAAATGTTTAGTTCATTGTTAGATTTTTACTTTGAATTGTTTCTTTTAAAAATTCTACAATTATGCCCTTTTTTGGAGAATAATTTTATCCCCTAGATAGTAAAAATTAGTGCATTTTTACTAAAAATAATTTTTAAAGTTGACTGTTATTTTGTAAGCCAGATGATATTTATTATGGTCTTTTTTTCAGCTTTATTACTAAAATTTACTTTTCCAAAATGGGCAAATGAGGTCATTTGGAACTATTTAGATTATTTAACAATTGCTATAATTAAGCACAGAAGAAAATGTTATGTACATATTTATGTGTTTTTGTAATAATCATTGAAAAATTAATATTCTTGTTTTGCAGTTGAAGCTCTGTATCAAACTACATACCCAGAATATCTCGAGTATATTTATTTGGTGGCACCAATATCTCTTATGATGTTAAACCCTATAGGATTTATCTTTTGTGAAATCCAGAAATGGAAAGATACTCAAAATGCTTCTCAAAACAAAGCAAAAATTGTGGGACTTGGACTTCTGCGTGTATTACAGAACCCAATAGTATTTATGGTCTTTATTGGTATTGCCTTCAATTTTATTCTTGATCGAAAGGTGCCTGTATATATAGAAAATTTTCTTGATGGACTTGGAAATTCTTTTTCTGGATCGGCCCTATTTTATCTTGGTCTTACGATGGTAGGGAAAATAAAGAAACTGAAGAAGTCAGCATTTGTTGTACTAACTCTTCTCATCACAGCTAAACTGTAAGTTTCACTTATTTAATTTGGGAACTGAACTTTGTGAAAGCCTTATTTAGTCAATTCATTGGGATGTGTCTGTGACTATTTTTGCCCTTGAATATGAATGATTCCCCCCTTATAAAGTAGTAGTGATCTAAAAGAAAATGTGATGTTGGTGTATTGTGGAAAGTCATTTCCATATACTGTGTAGATTATTCTTTCCATTTTACTATCAGAGATGATTGGTTTCACTTCAGTTTTTAAGTAAAGTTTACTTAATATCTCTTAATGTATCAGTGTGATAATATGTTTTTAAGGCAATTTTGCAGGACTTCTGAGTTTTTTAAACCTATTAAAATCCTAAAGGCAAAAGCATCTTAGTAATAATGAGAACAGTAATTTTTAATATATATAAACCTTATTGCCCATGAATTTGGGGAAAATATTTTGTAATTCTGAGGTTAATTGAGCTTTTTAAATATAGGTGAGTGAATATGAAGCATTATTAACAGCCATCTGGTCCCAGCCTGTCAAATAAAAAGTTTTTATCAGCCCTTAGTTAATAGTGCTTCTCCTTGCTTATACTTCATGGTACAGGTTACATAATTTTACTGCAAGATTATCTCAAATATTGCAGGCATACTTAATTGTGGAATTCAGCTCTTATATAGACAGTTAAATTCATGAGACCAGTTTAATATAATATAGTGTTTATTTTTCAAAATAATAAAAATGAATATAAGACTGAAAGTTATTTATGGTGCTTTTATGCTCCTTAGAAACAAAGTGTTAATTAGTATTCCACAGTAATAAATATAGTTCTAACAATAATAGTATTATCAACTTCCACTTATAAGTAGAATTTAAATATTCTAACTTAATTTTGAGGATTTTTTGATTCTTATTAGATATTGATTTAATTAAAATGTCCAATAAGAATCAAATTAAATATCTAATATTTAATTAAATGTTAATTAATTTAAAAATAAATTTTAATTTAAAATTAAGTTTTAATTAGTTTAAAATTTTAACTTTTTAAAATTTATGAAAATAAACTTTTTAATTAAAAAAATAAATATAACAGTAGTTCTTTACTGCATCCCAGAGCATCTCTATAGGTGTTGCCAGGATAATGTTACCAACCTTAGTCTTGTTATTTTTTAAGGGAGAGTCCCATTAGCTCAGCTACTGTTGACATGTTCTTTATATGGAATCCTGAAGAATTTGTTTAATAATTGACTCTTCCCCAGGTCTGGATTTCACTCATTTTCTGTTCCGTTGTTTCAGTCCCCTTTGCTAACCCTTTTTATATTTACGAAGATGAAGAACTAATTGTAAGATACCTATTTTTCTACAGGTTTTTGGAGTGTTTTTGAGCAGCATTGTTATCATTAACTGAACCATTTAAACCCCTAATCATAATTAAAGTTCATCTTTTTTTTTCTAAAAAGGAGTTTAGTAATTTTCTTGAAAGAAGTTTTTACTCAGATTGTCAACATTTTTCTTTTAATGTTTCAGTGAACCAACAGAGGAAGCAAGAAAGCAGCTATAATTGCAATTTTTATGAAATTTTTGCAAGGAAATTATTTGTAGGACAACAAAAATCTGGGTTTTCTTCCTTATCTCTGATCTGTGAAGTATTTCCAGAATATTTTTAGACCTTAAATGACTCCAAGTTAAATTCTTGATTCTTTAACAAAATGTTCAGAAGTAGGTATGCGCAGAATATGTGCGTGCAAATAGATATATCTTCTGGGCAGGAGAAAAAGAATAACCTAATACCAAATTCACCAGAGCAATCTATGAGTTGGGGACAAGCACACTTCAATATCAAGTAAATAATGTATTTCTTCTTTCTTCAGCTTGGTGCTGCCACTCCTATGCAGAGAAATGGTGGAATTCTTAGACAAGGGTGACAGTGTCGTGAACCATACAAGTTTATCGAATTATGCATTTTTGTATGGTGTCTTTCCTGTAGCACCAGGAGTAGCTATCTTTGCAACACAGTTCAACATGGAAGTAGAAATTGTATGTATATACTACTTGCTAAGTTTTTTTCTCAGCATATTATGGGGGTACAAATGTTAAGGTTATGTATATTGCCCATGCTCCTCATGGGCATCTATATTGCCATGCCCCCTCAAGTCCGGGCTTCAAGCGTGACCACTCCCCAAACGTTGCACATCTCACTCATTATGTTTGTATATACCCATCCCCTCCTCCTAAGTTTGATTATTTGTGTGTTTAGTAGGAAAGTGAATTTTTAAAACATACAACACAACATTGTTTTTATGGGAATCTGATGTCTATGAACTACCTCATTGTAAGTAAAGAGGCATTGTGTAACATCATGTAACAACAGTTATGTAATCTGGGACCTTTATTCAGCCATGACATTTTTCATTAGTCTGTCCATTCATTCATTCATATGTGATCCTCCTGCCTCAGACTCCCAAAGTGCTAGCATTATAGATGTGAGCCATCATGCCCAACCCTCATTAGTCTTTTGAAATTTCAATTATTTTATTTCTATACTTATACTGAAGGCTAAAAGTTATTTACAGAAGGGTAACTTTCAAAATTTTGAGGAAAATAATGTATTTTGTTCATTGATAATTCAACCATCAGATACAAAATACCACATAACCAACTTCAAGAAACAGCTAAAATCAATTAACACCAAATTATTAACAATGTCTAAGTGTATGCTTAGACATTGCACATGCTACCTACAGCATTAGAGCAAATGATTATGAAATATAAAGGAATTCCATTGTTTAATGAAGGTCATTTCTATTTAATCCTCAAAGTGTTTGCATGGTAATTTTTCTCTTTTTGAATTGCATTTTTGCCCTATGTTTTATGAAATAGTATGGAAGGAAACTGTTCACAGGTTTAGTTAGATCATTGATATGATTTACTGTCTAGAACCTAGAAGATAACCATCAACAGTGGAATGTGTAGGCCTGGAGCAGTGGCTTACTCTTGTAATCCTAGCACTCTGGGAGGATTGCTAGGTCCTCCCTAGTGGGAGGATCGCCTGAGGTCAGAAGTTTGAGACTAGCCTGAGCAAGAGAGACCCTGTCTATACTAAAAATAAAAAAATTAGCCAGGTGTGGTACGTGCCTATAGTCACAGCTACTCAGGAGGCTGAGGCAGGAGGATTGCTTGAGCCCAGGAGCTCTACCTGGGGCAACAGAGTGAGACTCTCAAAAAATAAAGGGATGGGGGAATTTCTACTATTTGTTATGTATAAATATAAATTAAGCATAGATTGGAAGAGGAACCAAGGACACTTAACTGTGTTTTCTTTTAAGGACTCTCAGAAATGGAAAATATGGCATTGGATAACATGCTGGATTTTACGATGTCTTTACTAACTCCGGGTTTTATTTTAGTATGCTTTAGTGTGCTGTGGTTATTTAAAGTTTAAGGTAATTAAGTGAGAGTGTGACTCCTCAATTTGATTTCATTTTTGCAGATAACCTCAGGAATGGTAATAAGCACATTTGTGTCCGCTCCCATCATGTACGTTTCTGCCTGGTTACTGACCTTTCCCACTATGGACCCTAAGCCATTGGCATATGCCATCCAGAATGTTAGTTTTGATATAAGTATTATCAGCCTGGTCTCTTTGGTAAGTATGTTTCATTGTAAACATGAATGGAAACCACAGAATGAGTTTTGAGAATAGCTTGGTAATAGAAAGGAATTTAAAATCTGGTTTCTTATGAAATAGAGAAAGCTAATAAAGCCTGCCCATAAAACATAGTATCAACTTTCTGATTAACTGAGTTTTTTCTTTCCAGTTGGGAGTTAGAGTTGTATAGTGGACAAAGCATAAGATTGAGTCAGGTGTGGATTTGACTCCTATCAAAACTAGCCCAGGCTGAGCGAGGTGGCTCAGGCCTATAATCCTAGCACTCAGGGAAGCCGAGGCAGGAGGATCACTTGAGTTCAGCAGTTCGAGACCAACCTGAGCAAGAGTAAGATTCCCCCTCTCTACCAAAAATAGAAAAAATTAGCTGAGCATGGTGGTATTTCTGTAGTCCCAGCTACTCAGGAGGATCACCTGAGCCCAGGAGATTGAGGTTGCTGTGAGCTATGATGACACTACTGCACTATACTCAGGGGAATGGAGCAAGACTGTCACAAAAACAAAACAAGACAAAAAACCACAGAAGACAAACAAAAAACCTACCCCTATCACAAACTAGCAATATATCTCTAAGCTTCTATTTTCTCAGCTATAAAATAAAGATAATTTCACATATTTCTATGGGTTGTTTTGAGGATTAAATGAGATATGTGAAAAACATTTTGCAAATGATGAATCACTATACAAATGCTAGCTGTTGTAGAATCACGGGGTCAGAAGGGATCTCTGGAATCAAGGCCAACCGCATATTTAACGTTAACAAAACTTTAGGTTACTTTTCAAATTGGATATATCTAGCTCAAATTAAATAGTTAAGCATTTGACAACTAGAGTATCTTATAGATCAAGTTGCCTATTGAATTAAAACAGTATTCTGACTGGAACAAAGGGCAACATTGACAGGTAAAGGAAAGGGGGTAGGGATGAATATGTATATTGGCAACAAATAAATGGGTAATTAATGTAATTTTTAAGAAATTCCACTTCTGTTACATATTCTTAAAATCTATGGCCATTGGTAGATAAGAGAGCAATTTGGAGGAAAAGACTATATAAATTTCAATTGGCAATGAGGACAGAAAGAAGGAAATCAACTAGGATACTTACCTGGCTACTATGTAGGTGGAGTAGAAACCCAGTTCTTTTAAATACACGGAACACAAGACAATTAGTCTTAGGGTGGGTGGTGTGTGTTGTTTGAAGGCAGCCTGGAATTTAGATATCTCATGAGCCAATATGGTGGGAATCAAAAAGGAAGAACTTAGAATAGTACATTATAACTGTATCTCCCACTAAAGCCCTTTTCCTGATTAGTTGCCTATGACCCTGTGACCCATCCCAGGTGCTGAATGTAGCTGTAGTTAGAACATGGTCCTGGCCAAGGCATTAGTTATTAAAGATCCTGTAATTTTTGGACAGTTAATTTGCTATGGGATCTCTCCATGCTTTTTATTTTACTTCAGATATAGTAATTTACCTCTTTGGAACTAGACAGGTTAAAGTAAATAAAATATTGGAATTTTTTCTGAATCAAGACCAAGATGATTCTTTAAAGAGACTAATCAATGTGTTATTTAATAAGTAATTATACTGATTAAAACCTGTGAATAACTTTTGAACCTTTTATCTTCAAGATCTGGTCTCTGGCTATTCTTCTTTTGAGTAAGAAATATAAACAGCTTCCTCATATGCTTACAACGAATTTACTCATTGCTCAGGTTAGTAAACCCACAGATATTTAGAACTATATTCTTCTCATGGATTATTATACTATAGGAGAAAATTACTTCGATAGGTTTTTCCTATTATAAAGTCAGGAGTATTTCCAAATGCAGTCAATTACAATTTGATTACAATTAGTTTATGCATAATATATTAAATATCACAATAGGTCTTGAACTATCTAAAGTTGAGGCTAATGATGGCATTTGATGATAACTCTGCATTTTTAATAGACATAAATGAATTATTAAAAACTGAACTCTCTCACAACCTTAATTTTTCTAGTTAAACTTTGCATGTCTCAAATTATAATGGAAGGAAGTTTAGCATTTTCTATGCTAAACTCACTATTACTAAATACAGGAATTAAGTTGCTATTTAGAATGTAGTCATTATCTGTTTTGGTTGAATATGTACATTGTTAAAGACTCTGTATAAGAGGGTTTTTTATTATAAAGCTTGAAGTTTTAGTATAACTAGGATGTAATTGTTGATAATTAGCAATAATTTAAAATGAGTAATTATATTTGCTGTGAATAAAACATGTATATAACTGGCTATTAATTAATAGTTATTTTCTGTGATGATATTGAATTATATGGTTTTCTTAGCTATTTACAAAGTCTTTTAATAATTTTCTTTTTAGTCTATTGTCTGTGCTGGAATGATGATATGGAATTTTGTTAAAGAAAAAAATTTTGTTGGACAAATTTTGGTGTTTGTTCTATTATACAGCTCCCTCTATAGCACCTACCTGTGGACAGGTAAGTTGGCTTGTGAATGGAAATTGAGGTCTGTTCCCTTCTCCCCCAACCCCAGAAACCACAGCTTCTAGTGATCTATTTGAAATCTGTAGTACAGGATCATGGCATTTACTCAAGCAGTTATGCCCACCAACAGAGGGTCTGCAAAGCTGAGCTCTTTTCCTTATCCACTCTATTTCTGCCTGGGCTCAGGACCTTATGGAGTCACATGGTTCTTTTCCTCAGAGTCTTTGGCTCTAGGCCACTGTCAGCACTCCCCTTTGGAGACAAGAAGAGGGCAGGCACTGGAGGCAGGTGGAGAAATGAGAGAATGGACAGAGAATCATGAGGTATATCCCAGAGCTCACTATTAGAGTCCTACTGAACAGAAAACTTCTGGCTCTGCAAATGACTTAACTTTTGAAACCTCAGTTTCCTCATCTGTAAATCTGGGTTACAGTACCTTATAGAGTTATTTTGAGGATGAAATGAAATATGAGTATTTATATCTGGTATATGGCAGGCACTCAACATGTGGAACTGTAATAGTTATTAAATAGGAGGAAAAGAGGTAATGTGAGAACAAGAAAACTAGGAGAATAAAAGGGTATGGAAATAGAAGAGAACCCAGTAAGGAAGACTTTATCATTTCAACTGGCTCCAATAAGGATATTTAAAATGTTTTAGCACATTGCTATTTTGAAGTATATTTATTTGGATGCATATATTCTGTTATGCTTGTGAAAAATTCTGTCTGGTTGTTTTGTATTCACACCATAAATTTGAACCTGTAAATGGCACATAAAAGGAAACTGTAGAATGGTAGGAGGTAAGTGTCAGGAAGTGGCTACAAAGGACAGACCTTTAATTTCATGCCTTTGGGATCAAAAGCAAGCCCCATCTAAGTCAACAGCCTTTTGAAGTGAAGCAACAATGTGGTAAGGAATTATGAAATGAAAAATTCAGTGCAAACAGAAGATGGTTTGTGCTTCTTAAAGGCAAGTATACCTTGCATAGCGTGAGAGTTTTCATGAGATGTTAAGTTAAAAAAGCCTAAAGACTTTATATTGATTGGATCAAGTTGGTCCAAATATAGATGAACCAACTTGATCTCTAATAACTAGGTTTATTCAGGTTAACTTTATAATAAGAGAGCAGCAAATAGATCAACATATCAAAAAGCCCCATGCCTCTCTAAAACCCTCTTGAAGCATCTATGCCAAAATCTACTTAAAGAGGTTGTTCTAAATTCCCTAACCCTCGTAAAGGTGCTCTTCAACCTTCAGATTATTATGGTACAACAGAATTTTAGACCTAAAAGTGTCATTTTAAATCATCTTGTTCAGCTATTTTTAATTTCACTCATTTACATACCATCCTCACAATTTTTTGGCATATCTGCATACCACTTGTTTTTTTTTCCTTAAATTTGACTCATTTTTCCCCTTCATCAGTCCAGCCTTTTATCAATAAAATCCTGGGTTTCATGTGCTAATTGTCTAAAACACATATTAAAATAAATGCATAACTAGTTCAAAAATTTTCACCTTTGTGCCACGTATGGCCTTTATACTTTAGGAAACACCAGTCTAGTTTTAATCCTTTGTTTTGCAAAGTGGGAAATAGGCCCAAAGAGTTAAACTGATTCAGCCAGGGGCTCCCACAGCCTCAAAAGTGAGAGATCCAAGGATAGAGTTTGCCTTTTAGTATATGCTTCTTTTCACAAGGCAAGAATGATGAACACGAGAATTTTAAAGACTGCCCTTGCTACTGTAACACATATGGCACTTTTGTGATTGGCTACTTATTTCCCTTGTGCTTTGAAAACCTGAAACTGTAGAGTATACAAATGTATCGAGGGAAAAGCAATTCTCAAGAGCCTCAATTTTTTTTTAAAGTAATTCTAGCATAGTGTTACTCAATCCGTACAATATTAAATCTAGGTATGAATTCTTTATATACAGCTAATACATAACTATAAAACCAAAGCAAATTCAGAATCTATTCAAACAAAATTACAAACCCAATAATTCTAATTAGCAACATTATTTAACGTGACAAAAGATCTTATTTTGCTAATGTAAATCATTGCTTTAAATATAAAATGGAATTTACTTCTCTGCTGTGGCTTTTTTGAGTTTGGGTTGCCTTTACCTCATATACGTGGAAATATACGAGGTTATGGCCTGGTTATCTCACTGCTTTTATTTCGCAGAACTTTCATCTGGACTGTATGTTATGAATTTGGCCTTCACTTGACTCAAACTTAATATAAAACCAATGTAAGGTATGAAATCCAGAGACTGTACTTTGGTTAAAAGGTGGACACAATGACTATCATTGAAAATAAACGAAAAAGACTTAAAATTTCTCATAGAAACTTCTAAATCCTGAAGAATATATCTTAGGAACCCCAGAGGTCCACAGATCCGAGTTTGAGAAACACTGATAGAGTTAAAGAACGTGTGTCGGAAGGCTGGATTTCTAGTCCCGCTCTGCCCTCTGCTGGTTGTGTGACTTGGGTAAACCCTTGTATATAAAATGAAGGGGTTCTAAAACAGAGGTCCCTTCCAACATTCAAGTTCTAAGATTTTATAGCTGTGTAGAATTTATTAAATAAGATTTTACTCATATAAATAATTACATATAAAGTATAAGGAAAGTTCAAGAACTTCAAAACATTTGTGTTTGTATTAAGTTCATAATGTATTTGTATTAAGCTCCATCATAACACTAGAGTATTTTCTAAAAACATTACTCATGTAAAGAATTACCTATACTTCTTGGCAGCAACACAATGGGGTGGTTTTTATTTTTACAACTTTTCTGTATACAGTTAAAAATTTTTTCAATTATACTTAGATTCCAAACACGTAAGTCAAAATAATAAAATGATTAGGGCTTTTGGAAAAAAGTTCTCACAGGTAAAACAAGAAGATTTGAGTAAAAGAAATAATATAGGAGGGAAAACATGAATGATTTTGAATTTGGAAAACTTGCTTCAAAATATTGGGACAGCATTTATTTAAAAGGAATAAATTCTAGGCCCAAAACTATAGACTACTACTGAAATAAATTTGATTTAAAAAAAAGGAAATAAAGTTCCAAAAAAAAAAAAGGAAATAAAGTTCCAGACATTGTTTTCCCTTATACTCCTAAGTATGTGAGTCAAAATGACTTAGCCAGCTATTAATATCTCAAGGGAACACAGACAGCAAAATGGTTGTAAGAGAAGTCTACAAGCATGAATAAACACACCAGATGTGTCCCAGAAGAGGGGATACTAACATAATTATATAATCCTTATGCCACTGGCCATATCTGGGACTACCTAAAATTGAAAATCAAAATATTAAATATTGGCCGGGCGTGGTGGCTCACGCCTGTAATCCTAGAACTCTGGGAGGCCAAGGCGGGTGGATTGATTGAGCTCAGGAGTTCCAGACCAGCCCGAGCAAGAGCGAGACCCCATCTCTACTAAAAATAGAAATAAATTAGCTGGACAACTAAAAACATATATAGAAAAAATTAGCCAGGCATGCCTGTAGTCCCAGCAACTCGGGAGGCTGAGGCAGTAGGATCGCTTGAGCCCAGGAGTTGGAGGTTGCTATAAGCTAGGTTGACACCACGACACTCTAGCCCGGGTAGCAGAGTGAGACTCTGTCTCAAAATAATAATAATAAATTAAAAATAAAAAACCCAACACTGTGGAAAAGAATTTTTCTGAGCAGCAAGCCATGTTGTTAAAAGACTATTACTGAAATAAATTTGGTTTGGAAAAAAAAGGAAATAAAGTTCCATGAGGTCTGATCACTGTTGAGTAATTCTCTCTTTCAATCTTTATTTCTTGTTCTTAGGCCTCCTAGCAATTTCTTTGTTTCTTTTGAAAAAGCGAGAGAGGGTACAAATTCCTGTTGGAATCATCATAATATCTGGCTGGGGGTAAGTTGGTAGTGTTCTGTTTGCTTACCTGTTTCTGTATACACAGTTACTATTCATTCTCTCTTTTTCTCTCTCAATCCTTGTTATAACAGAATCCCTGCTCTCCTTGTTGGTGTTCTTTTGATAACTGGAAAACACAATGGAGATAGCATTGACTCAGCCTTCTTTTATGGAAAAGAGCAGGTCAGAAGAGTTTATTGGCAATTCTGTTCTTGAGAACATTTCTTTTTAGCTTGTTAATGTGCCTTTCTATACATTAAAATTAACTTTGAAAACCTATTCCAACTTATTGCATGTCATACTGGTGATCCTAAATCACTTTGCCACACCTCAAAATGTGGTGAACATTTTGCATGTCTAAATCCATTTTTAACTCAAGATTTCTAACTGCTTAAAACTTGAGTCTTCTTAAACACACTTATGAATTATGTTTTCACTACTAAAGGAAAGAGTGATTAATTTAAAACTATTTAATAAGTTAGCAGTAATAATAAAGGTCAAATTCTTGACTCTTAATCCTATCATAAATATAAATTTCAGAACAAAAAGTGTCTGGGGAAAAGTGTACTGGAAAAGCTGGGGAGTAGGAAGCTTGTAAGACCTGCTGAATTCTTTAGGGCTAGGGCCGAAAGATGTGTACTTTTAAAAAAACTTCTCCAAATAATTTTTATTCCTTACCTTTTTCTGTTTTTAAATTTTGAATTTGATGGAGTTTTTGTGAGAACAAATACGATTATATACATAAAAGACTGAGGCTAGTGCTGTCAATTAGTGCTCAATAAATATTAACTATAATTATTTATGTTTAGTATCATTGCCATAAAAAAGTGTCTAGTTGACTGACGTACTCTTGAACTACATATTAAAGTAAGCAAAAACTTAGAAGTTAAGGTTAAGAAGTTAAGAAGATTAAGAAGGTTAAGAAGTTAAGGTCTGTAAGAAATCATTTAGATCACTTGTAAAGGAAACTAATGGCTGTACTGGTAACCAATTGCTGTACAATGAACGCATCTAGAAAACTTATATGATTACAAGCAAACCCTAATTTCTCTACAAGTAACTTACTTTCTTTACGCATGCTTACCCTTTTTTAAGAACCACTGTTCTAGAGAATTTGAAGCTGTGGAGATGTATTTTCCATCCAAAAAGTTCCCTTAACCTACTCTACCAAGATTTTCAAGATGGGGTTGTAGAAAGTGGCCTAACGTCTTTTTCTCACAACAGATGATCACCACAGCAGTAACCCTGTTCTGCAGCATTCTGATAGCTGGGGTATCACTCATGTGCATGAACCGTACCACCCAAGCAGGAAGCTATGAAGGTTTTGACCAGTCTCAGAGCCACAAAGCAGTGGAGCCTGGAAACGCTGCTTTTGAAGAAAGTCCAACGCCAGTAAATGAACCAGAACTTTTTACAAGCTCTATCCCAGAAACAAGTATGATCCTTAAAGACACTGTTACATACCTTTATAGCATATATTCTAAATGTTTTATTTAAGGGCACTTGCTTGAACTATTTTGAATATCATCGCTATCTGTCAAATGAAGAACATGAATCATAGTAATATAGCTTGCAAATTCATTCATTAGATTTTTGTTTATAAGTCTTTTTGTGAGGATGATCTTTGGCTAAATCCTAAATCTTCCTCAGACTTGAGAGTTTAGATAAAAGTAACAACTGAGAGAAGGTCCTTCCTAGGAAACTATAAGCATATACAATTGTTAACTCAACAACATTGTATCAGGCAGGCACCATCAATAAAACAAACTAAAAGAAGCCTAATAAGTCAAGTGTTGGCAAGCTATAGTCCACAGGCCAAATCTGGCTCACCACATGTTTTGTATGGCCCACCAGCTAAGATGGTTTTTACATTTTTAAAAGGTTGAAGAAAAAAGAACACAAATATTTTGTAACTCTTGAAAACTATATGAAATTTAAATTTCATACCCTCATAATTTTATGGAACATAGCCATGCTTATTTATGTATTATCTATGGCTGCCTTCATGCTGTAATGGCAGAGTCATTGCAACAGAGACTGAGCAGCCTGCAAAACCTAAAATATTATCTGGCCTTTTGTAGAAAATGTTTGCCAATCTTTGGCATAAGTGAAAATATGAACCCTATCCAGTAACTTTGTTAATGAGTATTAACAATTGTTATGGGGTTTGCTTCAATTCCTGAAGGGAACTTGGCAATACAATATGTATTTTGGCTTTATATGCATGTGGAGATTTCATAGATACACAAAAATCTGGAAAGTATAAACAGTGGTACCTATTTTGTTTATTGAGTCTGTGGAGTACAGGGATGACTAATCTCAGAACTATTTGTAGTAAATATCAATAAATAAAGGATAAAAAAAGAGAGTGAAATGAGATAGAAGATTTAAATACATTTTAATATCTTTACCTTAGAAGGAATAAAACCCCACAAATCTTGCTATCTCATATTGCCTTTCTTCCTCTCTCTCTTCCTTCCTCCATCCCAAACTAGAATTATGTAACACAGTGGTTAAAAATATGGATCTGGAGCTAGATTACCTGAGTTCAACTCCTAAGTCCATGATTTGCTACTATTTGATCTTGCGCAAGTTCCCTGTGCCTCAGTTTCCATATCTGATGACAATACCTACCTCATAGGAATACAAATAGATACAAATAGATAAAATGATGTAACATATGTAAAGCCAGCACATAGTAAGTATAATGTGTTAGCTTTATAAAATTTTATTGTAAAAAGAAGACATCCTTACAGTAAGGAATTCAAATACTATTCTAAAAGACTATAAAAAGAAAAGCTAAAGTCTTCTCCTCACTTACCCTCAGTCCTTCTCCCTAGAGGTAATCACTTTTTATAGTTTTATGCATCACTCAGACATTTTATTCATTTTTCTTTTATTTATTTACCCACACATACAAAAATGCAATGCATAATGTCCTATAACTTACGCAGAGATAATAAAGTGTGAGAGGCCATTTTTTCTATTCAGGGAATAATAAGAGGTTCAGTAAGGCTTGAGCTCAGGGTACGTCTGGGGAAGAGGTCAAGAGGAAGCTGGGAAAGTAAGCAAATCCAGAGGGGATTCTATGCCATGCTAAAATGTGAGGGTTTTGTCCTGGGAGTAAAGGGTTACATTAGCAGTTTTTACAATAAGTTAGGCCTGACCCAGGGTGTATTAAGGCAGCAGCGGTGGGATGAACAGGTGGGGTTGTACTCAGGAGAAGTTGTATTGACAAGGTTTGGTAATTGGTAGGAAGCTGGGTGAGGACTAATGGAGAAACTGAGGATAACATCCAGGAATCTGGTTTAAGTGAATGTTTAATTGTGTGGCTATTACCTAAGAAGGGGAATTCAGAGAGAAAAGATTTTTAAGGTAAGGCAATGAGCTCCACTTTGAGCCTTCCAAGTTTGAGATGCATGAGACACCAACGACACATTCTAGTTTCTCTTAAAATAGGATTCTCAGATCTGAATATAGTATTCCAGTTATCACAGTCCTTAGCACAGAGTAAGCATTCAATATTTGTTGAATGTTTGCTGACTGAGTGAAGAATAATATTAAGTACAGGGAATAAGGCAGCATATTTAGAATTAATAAAGGTTAATGTCATATTTGCATCAAACATTTTTCCTTTTTAATTATGAATTTGGACTGTATCATTCCAGAGCAAGGTTTTATTATGCTTTCACAATATGTTTATATTTCCATCAACAATATTATATAGTATGGTTTTTTGGTTTTTTGTGGGGTTTTTTTTGTTTTTTGTTTTTTTTTTTTTAGAAGGGTCTTGCTTTGTCGCCCTGGGTAAAGTGCAGTGGCATTATCACAGCTCACTGCAACCTCAACTCCTGGGCTCAAGCAATCCTCCTGCCTCAGCTTCCCAAGTAGCTGGGACTACAGGCACTCACCATCATGCTTGGCTAATTTTTCTATTTCTTTCGTAGAGACAGGGTCTTGGCCCTTGCTCAGGCTGGTTTCAAACTCCTGGCCTCAAGTGAGCCTCCTGCCTTGGCTTCCCAAAGTGCTGGGATTACAGGCATGAGTCACTGCGCCCAGCCCTTATATATGTTTTCTTAACAAATTTCATTTTAGCTGATTTAAACTTTCAAGTTTCTGGACATAAGAGAGCTGGGCCATATCATCTCTTTATTTTCTATTACTCTATGGCTCTATTTTAACCTTGAAATGGCATCTTTATATTAAATTTAAAAAGACATTTATAATAGCTTTATTATAGATCATACTTTTTATACTTGGAAATCTTTTTGGTTTTAAGAACATCACTGAAGAATTTAAGCACATTATCAACGAAAGGCTCACAGCCTAAGAATTATTTGTTTTTCTAGCATATTAAATTTTAATAGTTTATCACAAAAGTTATTATTCTATTATAATTCATGTCAAGGAGCGCCATGCCAATATATGTGTGAGATGTTTTAAAGGACACTGCATGCAGTTCTCTGACTATACAGAAGAAAAATTATAGCTCTGTAGAGATATGTCAGTGTGACTTCTGTAAACCAATCTACCTATAAACCAGCAAGAGATATTCAGCAGTACATAGTTGAAAAGACAAAAGCAAGTAATTGTTTTACTGCATCTTAGACTAGAAGGAGACAGGTCTTGAAAGCAGTGAGGGTTTAAAGAACAGAAAATTGGACATTTATTTTTATAAGAATTTTATTTTTAATTGATACATAATTGTACATATTTATTGGGTACAATGTGATATTTTGATATAGGTATACATTATATAATGATCAAATCAGGATAATTAGCATATCTATCACCTCAGACATTTATCATTCCTTTGTGATAAGAAATTCAAAATCCTTTCTTCTAGCTGTTTTGAGATATACAATATCTTATTGTTGACTATAGTTCCTTATTGTGCATGCAAACACTAGAACTTATTCTAATGTAACTTTGTACCCATTGACCATTCCCCTCGTGGCCCCCCGGTTCTCCAGTCCGACTGTCCATCTACTACTTCTATGAAATCAACTTTTTTAGATTCTGCCTATGAGTGCGAACATGCAGTATTTGTCTTATATCTGGCTTATTTTACTTAACATAATGTCCTCCAGATTTATCCATGTTATTACAAATAGATTTCATTCTTTTTATGGCTGAATAGTATTCCACTGTGTATATATACTACCTTTTATTTATCCATTCATCTGTTGTTGAACACTTAGGTTGATTTTGTATCTTGGCTATTGTGAATAGTGTTGCAATAAACATGAGAGTGCAGATATCTCTTTGACTACTGATTTCATTTCCTTTTGATATATACCCCATAGTGGGACTGCTAGATCATATGATAGTTCTATTTTTAATTTTTTGAGAAGCATACGGTATTTCATAATGTCTATACTATTTTACATTCCCACCAACAGTGTGTAAAGGTTCCCTCTTTTCCAAATCCTCACCAAAACTTGTTACCTTTTGTCTTTTTGATAGTAGTCACTCTTACAAGTATGAAGTGATATCTCATTGTGGTTTGGGTTTGTATTTCCCTGACAATTAGTTATGTTGGGCATTTTTTCATATACCTGTTGGCCTTTTGTATGTCATCTTTTGAGGAATGTCTATTAAGGTCTTTTGCCCCTTTTTAATTGGGTTATTTGATTTTTTGCTGTTGTATTGCTTAAATTCCTTATATATTTTGGATATTAACTCCTTGTCAGATGTATAGATTGCAAATATTTTCTCCCATTCTGTAGGTTGTCTCTTCATTCTGTTGATTGTTTCCTTTGCTATGTAGAAGCTTTTTAGTTTGGTATAATTCCATTTGTCTACTTTTGCTTTTGTTACCTGTGCTTTTGAGATATTATCTAAAAAACCCTTACCTAGTCCAATATCATAAAATATTTCTTTTATTGGTTTTATAATTCCAGGTCTTATATTTAAGTCTTTAATCCATTTTGCATTGATTTTTGTATATGGTGAAAGATGAGAGTCCAGTTTCATTCAAGTACATGTAGATATCCAATTTTCCCAGCACCATTTATTGAAAAGACTGTGCTTTCACCAATATGTGTTTTTGGTACCTTTGTCAAAAATCAGTTGGCTATAGTTGCATAGGTTTATTCCTGGGCTTTCAATTCTGTTCTATTGTTCTTTCTATATGTCTGTTTTTATGCCAATACCATGAAGTTTTCATTACTGTAGCTTTGTAGTATATTTTAAAGTCAGGTAGTGTGATGCTAATTTTTCCCCCTCAAGATTGCTTTGGCTATTCTGGGTCTTTTATGGGTCCACATATATTTTAGGATTGATTTTTCTGTTTCTGTGAAAGAAGTCATTGGTATTTTGTTAGGGATTGCATTGAATATGAAGAAGTGAGTTTTGAGCTGAACTCAAAAGAAAAGAGGATTTATATGAATTAACAAAAGTGAGAATTCCATGTTTGTCAGCCTAGGCCTAGAGACTCAAGTAAAAATGGGGTTTGTAGAGGACTTTAAAGAATTGTGCTGAAATAAAGGCTTTTTGTTAAAAAGTAGGGGTGCTTGGATAAGGGAGAGTGAGTCCAAGTCAAAGAGAGCTTTCACATTCAGGCTAAGGAGTTTGAATTAGTGCATGTTTTTGAAGAGTGATGAAATAAAAGCTGTATTTTAGGAAAGTGTTTGAATTCTTAGTTCCCCAAAGTACAGTGGAAACTAATAAAACAGCATGGATGAAAACATTTTCCTTGCCTCATACAAGGAGATGATATGTAAAGGAGCTGAGCCTTTGGTACTCTTTACATGTTAACTTCTGTATAAGCACATTTTAATATCTTTTGATAGGTATCATGTAAAAACATTTTCACTGAGGCTACTTGGGAAGTACGTGTGAGTGAATTTTGTTTTGTTTGGCATCTTTTGAACTTGCCCATTTCTGTTGTGATTGGGCTGTATCTTCACATATTATTTTATCTATAAAGGTTGCTGTTCCTGCTCCATGGGAAATGGTGAATTACGCTGCCCATCAACAGAGCCAGTAGCAAACACAAGCACCCGTGGGTCTGTGACTCCTTCGTTTGAGAAAAGTAAGTGCCTCTTGGCTTCAGGAATAGAATATTTCTTATCCTTATAGCCTCAAAAGAATGCTACATAGAATTTCTATAGAAGCCACAAACACTGAGAATATGGATTCTCAAATAAGATGAGAAAAGTGCTAATAGGATAATTGTACATAAATACTCATTTAAAAACATTTCTCAAAGTAGTAATAGGTAGTATTATACACACACACACACACACAAATTGTCCAATAAGTCTAACCCATGTAACCCAAAAAGTTCTCCGTAATACATACTCATTAAATATGGTAGTAGCAGTAGTAGTTGTTGTTCATATGGAGTTTATATTTGGCTGCTGATAGCTAGGAATGAATCTTTAATAATAGCAAAATTCATGGTTCCATAGAAAGAAGTGAAAATACATCAGATGTCCAGCATTCACTGACTTTTTCTAATAGGAAACCCTTTCTGGCATTCAGTTAAACTGTCTTTCAGTTTTTGTCTGTGTGCCTCTTTGCTAAAGTTAATGTTTCTTTACATTAGAATTCCCAGGTTTTCCTCCTTATTTTTTTTCTCACTATGCAATATACCTAATAGCAAGGACCCTTGACAAATTCAACAGGCAATCAGATTCAGCAACTATTTTTCCTCCCAAAATCTCCTTAGGCTTTGCTTACCTGTCATTTTCTTCATTAATAATGTTGATTCTTGAAAATGCTTTTTTTTTCTTTTTTTCTTTTTTTCTTTTTTGCAAGGGCAGTGCACATGCTTTTAAATTATAAGGCCTTCTTCAGTTTTCTGATTATGTTTTGCAAAAATTATATAGAATGAGAGCCATCATGTAGGAACTTCATCTAATCATATAATTTAACATCATTCCTAAGCCTGAAATGAATTAATGTCTAAAGGAAATTAGACCATAGGTAAATGAGAATTTTTAGAGTTAACAATATAATTTATTCCCCCTGGCAGAGCACAAAGGCAAAACAGATATTGCATTTAGATTGTTGAATGGCAACAATGTGTGAAAAAGGCAAATGAAAGACAATAAAATCTATTTTTATCTATTTTTATAATATCTGTACATAATATTTTAAAACTAGGATTATTATATACAGGTATACTTCTAGAATTTTTCAACACATAGATATATACAAGTAATTTTTATTAAAATAGGATCATACTATAGAGACAGTTTAGGAACCTACTTTCTTTTTACTTGGCAACATTATGAACTTTCCCCTGTGCCATTATGCTAGGCCATGTTTATGGGTGTATATGTCCTTTTTGAAAAGTGCCTTTAGAAAATACAAATTTTTACTTTTAACTTGAGGGTGGGAGCTATAGAATTGTGGTTTTTAATCATTTACTTTTTTTTTTTTTTTTTTTTTGAGACAGCTAGAGTGAGTGCCCTGGCGTTAGCCTAGCTCACAGCAACCTCAAACGCCTGGGCTCAAGCAATCCTCCTGCCTCAGCCTCCTGAGTAGCTGGGACTACAGGCATGCGCCACCATGCCCGGCTAATTTTTTCTATATGTATTAGTTGGCCAATTAATTTCTTTGTATTTATAGTAGAGACGGGGTCTCGCTCTTGCTCAGGCTGGTTTCGAACTCCTGACCTCGAGCAATCCGCCCGCCTCGGCCTCCCAGAGAGCTAGGATTACAGGCGTGAGCCACCGCGCCCGGCCAATCATTTACTTTTATAAGACTGTATGTTAGACTAGACATTTATTTTGTAAGAACGTTTTTCTTTACTTTTGCTACTATATATAAAGGGTAGCTGAGGTAGAAAAACAAAGGTCTCTTGTGAAAGATCTCTCACCTCTATTCTAGGCTGGAGAAGAGTTGTGCTTGTGTTTTGAGTTTTAGTCCATAGGGGAACAAAACGTAGTGTACAATATTTACTTGGTTCCTTAAAAGTCTTTTCTAAGGCAAATTTTAAACTTTTTAATGAAAGGCAATAGATAATAGTTCATTTGTTTAACAGACAAAGTAGGGTATTCGTGACTAGTAGGTAGATTCATCAGTGGTGAAACTTGAGTTATTAATTTGGCCTTTATTTAATATATACAAGATATATATATAATATATTTATATATAATTTTTAAAAGCCAATTTGATATATAATTATATTAACTATATTAATAAAAATTATATTATGTTTGTACACACACATATATAAAACATGTTGAATAGTGTAAAAGGGAACCATTGCATACTACTTGTGTTTTTTTCAAATAAAATACTCTACAACTAGAACTCTCCTAAAACAGCATGAAAGAGCTTTTCTCTTATTTCATCTAAGATAATATACTGATTCTGAGCTGAATGTGCTTTTTTGTTGTTTCTCTTAGGAAGTCATTACAAATTTAAAATGCATTCAAATAAAAAGCTCTGATTACAAATTGTTGTGCTTGCTGTGTTATAGATGATCATTGTGTGAGTCGCTGTAACTCCCAGAGCTGCATATTAGCCCAGGAAGAACAACAGTATCTACAGAGCGGAGACCAGCAACTAACTCGACATGTGTTGCTGTGTTTACTTCTCATTATTGGCCTGTTTGCTGTAAGTATTTCTGGTTTCGTTTTGTGGCCACTTCTTTAAATGTTTGGCAAAGGTTTCAATTCAGTCATCAGGGAGAAACTTAGTTACTGCTTTCCGGGAGTGCAGCAGCTAGGTCATCTCAATCCTAATATTGAGCTAAATGTTCAAGGGTGGGTGTGGGAGAAAAGAATGAATTATTAACATTATCCCGTTGCTTAAGTGCTCCAATAGTTTATTCTGCTTAGAATCACTTGTTCATTCTAGCTCTGAACCTAGAATTCGGTAAAGACAAATATCTCAATGATGTGTACAGGGCCACTTATTCCTAATGTACTTGACTGACCAAAGTAGATAAATGTATACAGTATCTCTTAGAAGATATTCCTTAGATAAATAAATTTTTTAAATAATTTTTAATTATGAAAAGGACATAACCACTTCATATAATAGATACAAAATAGAGAAAAGAAAAATATCTATCATACTAATGCCTTCTAATTTTTTAATACATTTTTCGTAGTTCCATCTGTTCACACGTACAGATTTATATCTTGCTTTTGTCACTTGTCAAGCGAGTTGCTACATGGTGTTCATAACCGTTACTTTAATTTGATAATTTTATAAGTGAAATACAGAACCTTATTTTTTAAATGCATGCATTTCTTTGATTACTTCATATCCTCTTTTGTGAATTATCAGCTATTATTTGATAATTCTTTGAGATGATCAAGTGTAACTTGCCCAGAGGTGAGAGATGGATCATGTAACCTATGAAGGAACCCTTTCACATTGGGATGCTCGTTACATGGTATGATACTGGCCAGCATCACTTTAAATGCTGTTTAAGAACAAAAATCAAAAAATAAGAAATGCTGCCAAAAATTGCTGCTTAGTGATGTAATTGTTTTCATTGTGTAGAACTAATTTTAAAATCATCCCTGTCTCAGGCTAGTTGGCAGTCCTGATATATTATGTAAGCTTCTGTATTATGGCTCATGTCTTTTTGCTGCAAATCTGATCAGAATAGATGCTGTTTGAATGACATCTGTCAGGAGGAGAGGTTGAAACCTCTTGTTGGAAAGACAAAGCCTCTATATTCTCTAGGTGTTTTTCCCTTTAGTCTTTCCCCCGTAATTATTAAGTAGATAAGTAATTGTACTATGCTCTGGATGGAGACAAATGATCAGCTTGCTTCATTTTAAAGTACTCTGCTCTCCTTCCTTTACAGAATCTTTCTAGTTGTTTATGGTGGCTTTTCAACCAAGAGCCTGGAAGACTATATGTTGAGTTACAGTTTTTCTGTGCCGTGTTTAACTTTGGCCAGGTATTTATTTACTGAGAACTTTGAGTGGCTTTTGTTTTCCTGGATGGGTTGATTGGTGGTAGGGATGGGGGCTAGTACGGATGTTGTTTTCTTTTAAATCAAAAGGGCTTAGTTTGTTTGCCAGCTGCTGGTGTGCATGACAGCTGACAGCTGCTGCCTGTCTCCTAGTAGAGATGAATTATTACTTTGGTTAAAGTCATCAGAATATACACTGAGTGTTTCAATGAGAAATATCAAATAGTTCTTTGCTTTGGTTCTGAGCTAAAGAATGATAATTTAAGCAGGGACAAGATGCCCTAAGTCCTTTTTCAACTTTGTTTTGATCTTAATAAGTTACTTTGAGAAAATAACTTACCTTCCCTGAGCCTTTAATTTAGCTGCTTAAATTGATAAACACCATTTCATTTACATTTTGATGTTTCTTGAACAATAGGTATGTATATCTTTAAAAAAAATCATGTGGTGTAAAAATAAATTTTGTCTAGGTATAACAGTTACCATTCATTGAGCATCTACTATGTGCCAACCATTGTTAAGAATTACATTCATTATTTCATTTAAACATCACGACAATACCTGCAAATTGAAATTAAAAAACTAAAATTCCAGCTGGACACAGTGGCTCACACTGGTAATCCTAGCACTCTGGAAGCCTGAGGCAGGAGGATCGATTGCTTGAGGTCAGGAGTTCAAGATGAGCCTGAGCAAGAGTGAGACCTGTCTCTACCAAAAATAGAAAAAATTAGCTGGCAGTGGTAGTACACCTGTAGTCCCAGCTACTCTGGAGGCTGAGGCAGGAGGATTGTTTGAGACCAGCATTTTGAGGTTGCTGTGAGCTGTAATAATGCCAGTGTACTCTACCTGAGGCGACAGAGTGAGACTCTGTCTCAAAAACCAAAACAAACCAAAAAAAAAAATCCACTAAAATTCCTTGAAGAAGTAACATAATGGGTGCTATTGTCATTGTTTACTGTTATTTATGGTTTATTGTTATTGTTTATGTCACTATTAAAATAGATATTTAAGGATAAATGATATTTTATATATTGGGAATATATTTTTATGTGCAAATTTCAAAATTTGCTCTTTTCTTCAATTCCTTACTTTTTAATTAGAGAATATCAGTCCACAGATTAACAAGTCAAAAAAATACCATGTTTGAAATCACTGAGTTTGCCTATTAAATCTAAAATAATTTGTCATATGAGTTAACATTTGTCAATAGATGCTCCTGCAAGTTGTTTTCTAACATTAATTTCCTGAAATATTTCCAGTTTTTTTGGGACATTATTGTGGGAGCAAAAATGGCTATGTATAAAGAGACAAGTGACCTTAGTTTATTACAGACAAGAGCATCCCAACAGCTACTTTGATACTCATCTCACTTCATGATACTGTTTAAGATCTGATATTTTATATAAGAACTGAAAAATACTATGTTGAAAAATCATAGCCTCGATTGGGATTTTTCATTCAGAAAGCCCACTCCAACCTGAGCCATCCCAGAACTGGGACTGAGAAAGCTTAATTCCACAGGGCTATGTCATACACACTGGCCACGAATGTTGCATTTAAAAATTTTAAATGCTGCCCACACAGCTTATGGCTAAAGTGGTTCAAAGGAGCAAAAGAGACATAAACCCCACTCCAATCCCATTTTCCTCTTGGGGAGGTGTGGTAAGATCATCCCTTCTAGTTGTTTATAGTCTTAGGGTGCAGAAAGCTAGGTCCTTCATACAACATACTGCATTTTCCATCCTACCTCCACCAACTTGCACTCAGATCCTTATCCTAGTGTGCCTGACGAATGGGCGCTGCCAACCTCCTGCCTCCCCAAACAGTCCTAAATTGTCCTGATCTGTCACTGATATCTAGTACCAATTTGCCTCATCACCCTCAAATCCTTCAAACCTTTCCCCTAACCACTGGCCACTTTCACTTTAAATTCTGTTCTGTTACTGCCTAATTAGATACTGAAGCACTTGTTACATAATTTATGAAGTTTTAACAGAAAAATAATAAATACTTAAGCACAGTAGGGGGAGAAATAAAGACATATAGCCCCTAAATGTTTTCATTTTTCTTCAGGAAGCTGTCATGTGAATGTGGTTGCTCAGCACTGGTTTGTATCACCCATCATAATTAATAGGACAGAACAATTGGGAAAAGGCAGCAAAGTAGTACACGTGCCCTTGGGCACTGCATTTCAGAGGCCTGCTTTGTCTGTTCTTCATCACTATAGGTTTGCTCCCTCAAACACTACATTTGGTGGCTTCCTTGATTTCTCTCTCTTAAAATTTTATTGTTGAATTCGGAAAAAAATAACTTTGTTTTCTTCCCTAGGGATTTATTTCCTTTGGAATCTTTGGATTAGATAAACATTTAATCATCCTGCCTTTCAAAAGAAGGTAAATTTAGTTTTGAAATAAATCTGCATCTATAAAGGTGATGAAAAAGCCATTCTATTAAAATACTAATATTTCTAAATCTTTAGTAACTGCTAGGACCACTAAATGCCACACAGAGGTTATCTGTTGATTCACATATTTGTTGTAAATAATTGAAGAAAAATATTAGAAGAACTATTATAAATCCAGCATTGTAATTTGCATTTAAACAAGAATTGATAGACATACTGACTTCTATCTATGCCATTAACTACGTAAAGTTAAATGAAACTTGAAAATGTCTTTAGAAATGGAAGTAGTAGGTGGTGTGCCCCCAAAGGTCTATATTTGATTGTGATTGTCTTTCTCCTTTGAAACATGATTCTTCTTTCTATCAAACTGATAACTTATACAAAACTCAAGATTTCCTTCTAAATTTGGGGGTTTTATTAGCTTGAAAGAAGATCAAGGATTTCTCTATGAAAAATAACAAGTTGGAATACTCCAACTTGGGGGTAGAAGGAAAAAGCAAGGGGGCAAATCCTTGTATCTCCTCATTTGCTTTCAAAGTCAAAATTAGTAGAAACTAGAAGTGCTAATGAAATTTATCCTGCCAGCTCTGTGAAAAGCACCCAATAAATGGTAACTGCTCTTCTCCTTCTTCTTCTCCATCATCATCATCATCATCAAGATACAGTTGCTAGGATCATAATCATTTCATGAACGAGGAAAAACATAACAAGAAAGTCACTGAACTAAGTTATCAGCTACATAATGTTGATCAGGTGAAATAGTCAACAGTTCTATTGCCTGGGCTGGCAGAAACAAAATTGTTCTGTATTCCAGACCTGGTATTTGTCTCTGTGGTACTGAAATAGAAAAATGATTAAATAAACTACTTGATCTCTAATTTATCTTTGTATTTCCAAACAGTGGGATATAGAATAAGGAACATTTATTCATAGAAACTGAAATGGGTCAAACATGTCTGGAGGGTTTATAAATAATGATTAGGCCCCCCACCCCAGCCTTCCTTCAAAAGGAAGCTGAATGCAGAATGTGTTTCTGCTTCAGAGACTAATGATGTCTGGGAATTGAAGATGACAGCTCTGGTGAATGATGGCATTGGCATAGCCATTTTGATGGGGTGCTAAGTCAGGAAGGGCTCTCTCTCAGTGCTTTTCTGTTCTTAAATATGGACTCCTTAAATTTTGGTTTTCAGACTTGAGTTCCTTTGGAACAATAAAGAAACAGCAGATAAAAGGGATTCTCCTGTTTCTGAGGAAATAAAAATGACCTGTCAACAGTTTGTCCATTATCACCGTGACCTCTGTATCCAAAACATTGTGAAGGAAAGAAGGTAAGCAAATTGCCAGTACAGGTTCCAGATAATTATGTTTTAGATGATTAATTTTGGATTGTAATAGGCTAAATATGTGGCTGTTACTGACTACATGATTATTTTCAATAACACACATGTAAAAGTTATAAGTTATGGGTCAGTTTATAGTTTAAAAAATGATATATGAAAGAGCCATATCACTTTAACATTAATATTTTTTAAATGTCATATATCTTCTGATTTCCACATAAACTGTGAAAATTTTAGAATGAACCAAAATGTCACAGAATATTAACATTCATTTCCAGTTGGCCATTAGTGTCTCTCATAAAACTTTGAGATACATTGGATTTAGAAGAGATGTTATATCTCCATCTCTTGGTGGTATGTTATTTTATATTACTAATACTGTTGTCAAGAAAATGAAACTTCTGCCTCTTAATTTTGCTGTTTATATTTCACCTCAAGCCCTAATCTTTGGTCTGAGACATGATATTTATTCTTCTAATCCCCAACGTAGGAAGTATGCAGCAGGAAATGATGAACTTTGAATAAACAAATGTTATAGTGCACATATTTTTGGTAGTCATAAAGAGAAAATAAAAGAAAACAAAACATAAAGAACCTAATATTTTTATATCTATAAGTGAAAATTTGAAATTTTATAAAAATCATTATTGAGGATGATTTATTTTCATATTTTATGCCACTGTATTCAACATGTATTAATATGTCATTATAATCAGAAAGCAGCCTGGAATTACAGTGGAGGGGGACTCATTGGGTAAGGACTGATACTAGAACTGAAATCCTAAACTATACTTACTAGCTTTGTGATACTGGGCAAGTTCATTCTCTAAACTTTGGTTTTCCTCTTCTTTAAAATATCTGACTCTGAGGGTTGTTTGAGTTAGATGACAGAATGTCTGTCTAGGCCAATCTAATTGGCCTAGCCCACTGCCTGGCAATGGTAAACTATGAAGAAAAGTTAGTTTTTCTACCCTTTAATGGGCTGAGCACAATTATTTCAAAGTACCATGAATAATTTCAACAATTTGAAACTGCTTTTTAAAATTAAAAATTATAGGCTTATGCCTATAGTCCTAGCACTTTGGGAGGCCCAGATGGGAGGATTGCTTGAGGCCAGGAGTTTGAGACCAACCTAAGCAACAAAGCAAGACCCCTTCTCTACAAAAAAAAAAAAAATAGAAAAATTAGCCAGGTGTGGTGGCACACACCTGTAGTCCCAGCTACTTGAGAAGCTGAGGCAGGAGGATCTCTTGAGCCCAGGAGTTGGAGGTTGCAGTGAGCTTATGATGACACCACTGTACTCTAGCCTGGGCAACAGAGTGAAACCCTGTCTCAATAATAATAATAATAAATAATACATAAATAAATATTTTAAAAAGAAAACTCCATGTTAGTTCTGTCAGGCCTATTGTGATTGCCAACTGTCAGAGAACATAGCTCTTGCTGTTTGCAAGACTGCCACACTGCCTTGGTCCCAGATGGCTGAATGGGCACCTGCTGAGAGCATGCTGGAAGTGTGCTGGCCTGGTCCTGCTCCCTTTGCAGGTTCTGCAGCCTGTACAGTGTCACATTCTCTGCCATTCTGTACAACTCGATGGGCTGTTGTTATAGCTACCTGATCACAAGCATCAGGAAACAAATATTATTCAGTTGGTGTCTGGGCTAGAAGGTGTTAGGCTATAAATCAAAAATCAACAAGCAGGAAGAGGCTCAGACACAGGTTGTAAAATTCAGGCTTTTGTTGAAAGTGATGTTTGTAGTTGCAAGGCATAAATTCAGATATCACTAAATGAAATACTGATGTTAAAATATTGTGATTTTATGTACTTGAGAAAAATTTTCATGTATATTAACCTTTTTTGTAATTTTTATACAAAACTCATGTATATTCATTTATGGTTAAATGGTTTTAAATTTTTGTCATCTGTTTCTCATTTCATCTTGATTTTCATCCACTGTTTCCTATCATCAAGTACTTTAGGTTTTATAGCTTCACTGATACTGTGGATAGATTCATGCTGTCTATTGCATATTTGTATGAAAATGTACAAAATGCATGTAATTGGTTTTTTCATCTCTCTTTCCCTTGTTCATTTGCTTATACTTAAGGCACCCTACATTTGCATTAGGAAGATAGATTTTAAATAATCAAGAAGTAGATTCATAATCAAAGTACATTTTTAAAATCTTATAATAGATTTCTAACAAGACAGAGCTCACGTATTCCTTCCTTGCTTCCTAATGAAGCAAATTCCTGACAAACATATCAGAATGATTGTCTTGGCTACTGAGGGCAAGAAGAAAGGCTACTTGTGGACACTATGATGCATATAGTGCATATGTATATATGATGTACATAGAGCTGAAAATCATGTTTGATTTGAGTAGTTTAGTGAAAATAATTACTTCTTAAGAGCTTGTGAAAAATATTTAGTGTTCCTGGACAATGAAATTACTTAGTATAACTAAGAGTGTAATAATTTATATAAGATTCAGCTCTCTTCAGGATGGATCTGATCATAAAAGGCCATGCTACTACAAAAAGAATATTTCTTTGTAAATGCATTTACATTACCTATGTCTTTTTTGTTATTATTTAAGAATTTCTGCTTTCACAAGCATTACTGGCATATTTTTCCCCAGTGGATCTTTCTAAGGTCAGGCGAGTTAAAAAACCCTTTGTATTCAGAACGGTTTCATTCCTGCCATACTTTAATTATCATGCTGTCTCCTTGATTCCTTCTATTTTTTTCTTGCTTGTCCTCTGTTATGCAGTGCTGATACGAGATTTACAGAACATATAGGTGAATCATTCCTTTGACATACAGGTGTGGTGCAAAGACTTCCACCGGGACCTTTTGTGGCTGTGACCTGGTGAACTGGCTAATTGAAGTCGGCCTTGCCTCTGACCGTGGTGAAGCTGTGATATACGGAGACAGGCTGGTGCAAGGGGGAGTCATCCAACATATTACCAACGAATATGAATTTCGAGATGAGTACTTATTTTACAGATTTCTGCAAATGAGTCCTGAACACAGTCCTACTGCTGTTAATACAAGCACCCCCCAACAAGAAAGATATAAAGAAATTGAACATTCATCCTTATCCTCACTTTCCCCTAAGACCTAAATTATGAAAGGAAGAACCCCATATGGAATCATATTCTAGCCCAAGATCTGTTATTTTTTAGCTGTGTGACCTTGGGCAAGTTACACCACTGTGAGGCTCAGTTGCCTCTTCTGTAAAATTTGACAAGATGCTTTCCTAACCCATGCTAAAGGTCTATGATTTTATGTGTAAACTCCTCCTAAAACACATAGGAAACTGATTTAGGAAAAAAGAAAACCAAATCAAAATTTAAAGTTCTGATAATGAATATAATAATTACAGTCATTCCTCAGTATTCACAGGGGAATGGTTCCAGTACCCCTGCAGCTACCAAAATCTGAAAGTGCTCAAGTCCCTTTTATAAAATGGTGAAGTGTTTGTATATAACCTATTCACATCTTCCTGTATACTTTAAATAATTTCTAGATTACTTATAATGCCTAATACAATGTAAATGCTATGTAAATAGTTGTTATACTGTGTGGTATAGGGAACAAAGACAAGGGAAAAAAGTCTATACATGTTTACTACATACGCAGCCATTGTAGGCCTAACATTTTTGATCTGCAGTTGGTTGAATCTATGGATGCGGAAGCAGCACTTAGGGAAGATTGACTGTACTATAAACAGTACTAATGTACTAACATTGTAAAATCACTGCTTTCTGCAACTGTTTGCTATAATTTCAAAATCACCATCCTATTAACTGTTCCTTTAAATTGACAGATTTTGCAGGTGTATTGCTCAGAGGAAATAGACCTTAAATTATGACAACTTTATATTTATTCATATTACCTCCTAAAAAAGAATTTTAATGATTCTAATAAAAGGTTCTTTTTATTTTTTCCATTTCCTTGACAAATAATATTCATTTAAAAGCTAAAACCACTATTTTTTTAAGGCTTGTCTTTTCTTGCTTTTCTATCCAAGAACTAATCTATATCATTTGGAAGGGAATAAGAACCTCCATAAATATTATCTCCACAATCTTTAAACAAAAGTATAGTGTTATCTTTAACTTTTGTACTACAAAAAATAATTTTAGAAAATTCATTTAAATTTTATCAACAAAATTATTGCCATATGATGTATCATTTCTGGTATTTGCACAAAACATCATAGTGCAGGATAACCTTTCTACTTTATTCCCTGAAATTAAAAAAAGATAGAAAACTATAAATTTTAAAATTACTAAATTTTGCCCTCCCACTTAGTCCATTCAGGCTGCCATAACAAAACACCATAAACTGGATAGTTTATAAACAACAAAAACTTATTTCTCATAGTTTTGGAGGCTGGGAAATCCAAGATCAGAGCACAGCAGATTTAGTGTATGATGAGGGCCCACTTTCTGGCTCATAGATGGTACTTTCTTGCTGTGTCCTCACATGGTAGAAAGGAAGGACTCTGGTCTCTTCAACCCCTTATAAGGACATTAATCTCATTCATGAGGGCTCCACCCTCATGACCTAATCACCCCCCCCAAAAGATCCCACCTCCTAATACCATCACATTGGGGATTAGGTTTCAATATATGAATTTTGGGGAGACATAAACGTTCAGATCTCAGGTAAGCTTTATCTTCAGTAAATTAAAAAGAAATCTAGTCATATGACCTTTGAACATCTACTTATTAGGTGGCAGTGCTGGTTTAACTTATTTAAAACATGTTTCAAATATTTATTTAATTATTTCATACTGTTAGTGTCTCATATACTAAAGCCATTTTAGAAAATAATTTATAGGGTGTCATTGCCCTTTTAATGCAACAAATATATAATTTTTAAAAAACCTGCATGGAAGCCTAGTGTATTTAACAAGTAAACTATACTTTAGTATTTACCTATACCAATTTTAAGTTATGATTATGGAAAGGGGATGTTTTTAGCAGAACTGTCTTGCTGTAGAACTTTCTTTTTTTAATACGACTACATTATGACTCTGAATGTTCAGGAGTAAGCTTAAGGCCTCAATGCTGTACCAGAAGACTTTTATTGTTATAGTAATAGATATTAATTCACATGCATGCAGGCAACTCAAACTCAAGTGTTGAATTTGTTTTATGAATAATATCTTCTGTTGTTTGCATGAATGGCATCATTTTCCATGGGAGACACTAGAAGAAAACCCTGGATCAGAATGGTCTACAGTTTCAGATAATAAAGGCTTTTAAGAGACATTTTTAGAATTAAGGATATGCTAATTTTATTAAATGAAAATATTTTTAACTGTTACTTTCTCACTGACAAAGCAAGTTTCTCAATAAAATATCTATTTTAACTTGCATTGCTGACATCTTTTCTTTGAGTAATCACAATAATGCAGTAGCCATCATAGAGGTCTTTTCTATAAGTTCTCAATGTTTAAGTTCTCAATGTTTTCTTAAATGGGTTTTCTGAGACTGTTTCCCTTCCTGACCCTCTGGATTCTGTGTACAGGGCCTTGCCCAATTATGCATTCATAAACATTTTTTATGAATGAGTCAATATGACAGTAAAGTCCTTCATACATTTCATAACCTTTAATATTCAGGGTCACAGCTAGGAAAAAGATCTGATACAATTTTGATTAAAACCTATCCTTTTTTTTACTAATCTTCAGCATAGTCAATTGTTTTCTTAACTCTCAATGAATAATTCCATACCTAGCTTGTGCTTAGATTTCAGTGTTTTTAGAATAAGATAGAATAACGATTAATGATTAGTAAATTTCTAAAAGCAAGAAAAACACCGGCAACAAATGCTGACAAGGATGTAAAGCAACAGGAACTCCTCGTTCATTGCTGGTGGGGATGCAGAATCCCCACTCTGAAAGAGAGTTTGGCAGTTTCTTACAAAACTAAACATACATTTACTATATGATCCAGCAACCGTGCTTCTCAGTATTTACACAAAATGAGTTGAATATATGTCCACACAGAAACCTACATATGAATATTTGTAGCAGGTTTATTCACAATTTGTAAAACTTAAAAGCAACTAAGATGGGCTTTAGTAGTGGTACATCCAAATAATGCAATATTATTAATATTCAGCACTAAGAAGAAATGGCTATACAAGTCATGAAAAGACAGAGGAAACTTAAATGCATATTAGTTAAAGAAGACAATCTGAAAAGACTACATTGTACCTGATTCCAATTATATGACATTCTGGAAAGGCAAAACTACGGAGACAGTAAAAAGATAAGTGGTTGCCAAGGGTTGAGAGGAGGGAGAGATGAATACATCAGTGGTTGCCAAGGGTTGGGAGGAGGGAGAGATGAATAGACAGAGCACAGAGAATTTTTAGGGGAGTAAAACTATCCTGTATGATACTGTAATAGTAGATACATGTCCCTACATTTATCAAAGCCTATAGAATGTATAATACCTAGAGGGACCTCTAATGTCAACTATAGACTTTGAGTGATAACATGTCAATGTAGGTTCATCAACTGTAAGAAATGTACCACTCTGGTGCTGGGGTGTTGATGGTGGGGAAGGTTGTGAAGACAGGATATTCTGGGAACTCTGTACTTTCTGCTCAATTTTTCTATGAACCTAAAATTGCTATAAAAAATAAAGTTTTTTTTTTTTTTTTTTTGAGACAGAGTCTCACTTTGTTGCCCAGGCTACAGTGAGTGCCGTGGCGTCAGCCTGGCTCACAGCAACCTCAATCTCCGGGGCTCAAGCGATCCTCCTGCCTCAGCCTCCCGAGTAGCTGGGACTACAGGCATGCGCCACCATGCCCGGCTAATTTTTTGTATATATATTTTTAGTTGGTCAATTAATTTATTTCTATTTTTGGTAGAGATGGGGTCTCGCTCAGGCTGGTTTTGAACTCCTGACCTTGAGCAATCCGCCTGCCTCGGCCTCCCAAAGTGCTAGGATTACAGGCGTGAGCCACCACGCCCGGCCAAAAATAAAGTATTTTTAATAAAATTTTAGGGGAATTCATGATCAGATTTAAATTTTTTTAATAGATCACTCTGGATTATAGTGACCAATATGGATGGAAATTTTAAAAAACAGGTGTAGGAGAATAGTTAACTGCACTGGTCCAGGTGAGAGATGCTGCTAGTTTGGTCTAGGGTGTTAGCACAGGAGAAGGTAAAAACATGCTGGACCTAGGAGAGAGAAATAAGATTCACTATGTGTCTCTGGATAAATCAATGAACTGTTTACCTTTAGTTCCCTCCTCTGTTGAAAGAGGAGTATAGGAGCTGGCCAGGGTTCTTCGTGATTTAGGGACAACCTATCTCTGAACCATACATATGACAAACAGACTCAATGGAGTACTTGACTCTGACATCTTTTCCTTTGTAATGTCAGACCTATATCAGACAAGAGCAGTATCAGGCAGATTATGGTTTTTATGAGAGAACTTTTAAACATAACTTCCTGATTACTCTTTAAATATAACAGTCTACTTCTTTATTTTAATCCTAATTGTGATGACAGTGACCAATTTATATGATAATCAAATACTAAAAATGGACATTTCTAGAAACCAAAAAATATTTAGTATTATTTTGATGTGGATTTTTCTTTTGTTTATATTTGCAATTTTGAGTCTTACTAGGTAATCTTTATGTAACTTTAATAAGGTTTTTAAAAAATTTAAGAAGATATTACTCATTTATAATGTTAATGATATAATGTTATAATATTCATAATATAATAATAATTCTATTTCATTGCCACTACCTCATTCCTGTTTTTGTCTTTACCGAATGAATGGAAATAAAAGATAAGAGAGATTTGAGACCCAGTCACAGTATGTCTTAAGGTCGTGGTTCTTTTATCTCATTCTCTAATCTTTCAGACAAACTCATCTAACAAACATCTTATTAACAGAAAAGGCTATTAAGGGGAATGGCCCAAAACTTGCTAGATAGTTAGAGCTATAAGCTCATTCAATGGTCAGCCAAGGCTTGACAAAGAGCATGTCTGAGTATAATAAAAATGCATTTGCATAATTAACATGCTATAATGATGAAGACTTAACATATAAATCTAGAAAATTTTCTTGCCTGAGCTG